CGGACCCCTTCTCTGAATCCGCCCCCGGTACGAGTGGATCGTGGCAAGCCGATATATTTTATCCTGCGCGAAGATAACGTTTCGTGATTTTAATATGGTGATAAGATAAAGATTATAAGCTATCGCCCAGTTAAATACCCCGCGAAGAAAACTGTGATAAATAAGATGTCCCTGCATTGAGCAGTCCTTGGGGCGTCGAATTCGGCATTTTACAGTGATGCTTTCCTCTACCCTTTTAATAAAGTTTCTTCTAACCAGATCCTACTGTCCGTGCTACATAGCCACGCGTGCCAAGATTTTTTTTTTTTTTTTTCGGTGGTATGCTTTAACAATGTCAGAAAGCACGGTGGTCCAGTTTTCAGCAAAGTCAAAATGAAAGACAATGCTCCTGCGTTGCATGCACCTGCTTTTCATCGCAGATCGCTTTATCTTGCGTTTGTCGGATATGGTTGTGAAATATCCAACTATCGACCGTTACTTGAACGACTTTTAAAAAAAAATCTTCAAGTCCAGTCTTTTTTTTTTCACAAGTTCGCTAGATTTTTATGTTGTAAGCACAATCTCTTCATCCTCTGGGATATGAAGTTCCTCGAGTGTAAGAGACGGTCCTTTTGGACGGTGATCACAGTCTTCTTAAAGACACAGACTTGTTAGTGGGTCGCACAGAAATGCTGAATTTATTTCACCAGTGTTGAATGTTCAGCCTGTAACGTTCTTTACAACGGCAATACAAAGGTAATAAATGGCGCAGCGTACACAAACGCACACTTCCTGGTGTGGAATACATTTGAACCATCTAGGGCGCAAGGAATAAAATTTCGTTAGCCCAACGCCGGAATCAGGATGCTTGTCTTTGTATACACGAAAGGCCTGTGTCAGGAAGCGCTTTGGCACGAACGTTTTCTCCCCGTCGAGAATAACAGAGATCACGTCCTTCTGGTTGGGACCTTGGCGCAACTTGTCTTTCGTGAAGTACTCTAGGGCAGCAGACAGGTTCTCAGGGCTCACCTTGCATCTCGTGTAAGGATCTGGCTCACACCACACGCCATGCTTTTCCTTACCTAAAACGTAAACACTGTCGCCTTCTTAACCTTTCCTAGGTTAACATGGCGACAGTGTTTACGCTCTATTGCATTTAGGCGGGGCTCGGGTATTTGGGGGTTCCGATCTCTCTCTGTGTGCCTCTTTGTGCCCGATATCATCGCCCGCCAAGCCAGCGAGTGGGATGGCGACAGCGTCGGCATCGGCGGCCATATTTTGCTGGTTGAAGCGAACCCCCTCATCCGTGACAGCGAGCGGGGAAATGCGAAAAGATTGTGTCGGCCGTTTTGCCAGAACTAGCGACGAGTGTCGCTAGTTCAAAAAGATTGTTGCTAGACAGAACACTAATCACGCAGAAAGAGAATGCTGGAATATGTTTTTATTCTAGATATAAGTCAGGGATATATATAAGAGAGAGAGAGAGATGGAGATAGAGGGTAAGAGAGAGGAGCACATAGTGCCGTAGGAAAATAAAGTAAACAAAGTTCCCAGTGGCCGACGGCTGCCGGATCTTTTCTCGGATCACTAGTTCGTAATATGATAGCTCTTTGTACACAGTTGTTTCTCCTCAATTTTAGTGTGTGAACGATTTCTATAGTTATCAATGGCCTCATCTGAATACAAATATAAAAAATGTGTGCATGAAACTAAGTGTAGGCTTTGAAAAAGGACCCTTGTTTCTTTTTTCTCTATAAAATAACGCAACATGTTTTAATAGAAATGGATGCCGAAATAGAGTATAACAGGGTACCCAAATTAAAAAAAAAAAAAGATCGAAGGTGATGTTTTTTGTTGTTTTCTTGCATCAAAAATTTTTTTCCCCATGTTTGCCTAAATATATCCCGACTATCGTATCACTAAGATACCTTATTTATTTTTTTAAAATAACAGACATATATAAGCACAATACTACCTGCAACTTTTATGATAATGATTAAATTATTTCTTGAGATACAGGCCTCCAAATTTTGCCATTTGTCGTTCGAGCGGGCATGTTTGGCAATTCTTAGAAAAATAAATAACTTAAATAAGTATTATTACCTTATATTACAAGAAAGCTGTACCCATAGTTTGTTTTTAGAAAAGTATTAGAAATTCTCTAGCTTGATCCTTTTATTTATTCACTTGCAAACGTGCCCCCTTCATGTCCATCACTTCATGCCTTACGATTTTTCCTGTGCCCAAATATGTTTTTCTGGTCAAAACTACTTTTGAATTCGTTTATACCAGACAATAGCATATAAAAATATCAGTTGGTTTAAAAATGTTGACCAGCCACCCTTTGGTCGATCTTATATGAAATCACCCCCTAGCATCTTGTTAGCAAAAAAAAACGCTGGCTTTTCTTTTTCTTTTTTAGTTTAGAAGTTTTGGGGTTTTTAGTAACTTTCTCTACAAGTTCAAAAGACGGATAGGAACGGTGCACAGAACAGCCAATTTTCACTCTTTTCCTCCCATATATAGCTACACCCCAAAGGTCCTTTTTTTTTCTCTTTGTGTGTTTATTGTCTAAAACAATGCAAATTGTAGTAATAGACACGCAAACAAAAAAATACCGCAACGCGAAAAAAAAAAAAAAAAAAAAAATCCCACGCGCGCGCGTTTTTTAATTTTTGTCGTTTTTCTTTTCTTGCTTCTCACCTCCTCGCTTCTCTTGATTTGTAACGTGAAATATGAAATTTAGAAGCTTTGTAGGCGACATTTCTATAACATTTAAAAATGGCATTTGTAAAACATGTGATGCCACCTCCCGGCTTTTTATCACCCCCGAAAACCATGGCGGCGCTCGACGCAGGCAGAGGATGACGTGGGTCGGGGAATCTGACGAAATGGCCTTTTTTAGATGCCCGACGACCTCTCAGATTTCGAAAAGGAAATCGTCAAACGGTCGAAACAACTGGGTTTGGTGTCTGCGTATCGTAGTTTCGGCTATGACTCCGCCGGGGCAGCCTTTCACGCAGAACCGGCAAGACGTGGCCCCTCGAGTCGCTCACAAAGGTCCAATGCGCATTCTCTTCGATCTCACACCGTTTAAGAGATTTTGAGATCGCTGAAAGGGCCCTAAAAGAACTTCAAACTCGAAAGTCAAGCGTCGTCTGCACGGAGGAAACCGGTTGTTCGCGGTACGTCGGCGAACAAGACACTTCGGGGCGCGGCGGCAACGACGGTTCGGAGCGGAGGGCGGAGGCGTGAAAAACTCTACTCGTAGGACGGCTCAATATTTGGTTGTCACTGCACTGGCGCGGATCGCGCGGAAACTTCAAATTCGGCATTCGGAAATTGTCTTAACTTCACAAATACTGAATTCCCAAGTTTCGAGTTTTGAGGGTAATGCCCAGGAATCGTCTTCAATCGTTTCGGATAATAAGAAACAAATATGATTTGGACGTGTCAGTGCCCCTTTGGCTCCCTAAAGAGAATTATAATTAAATGCTGCAGCAAGATCCACTAGTGTCGAACATGGGGCATGTCCAAGTTTGATTGTTTCAGACCTTTGGGGCCCACTACCTGTACACCCTCGTGTCACAATGAGTGAAGCATTTTGTTTTTCATCGCTACCAGTTCATCCTAGGTCATGCAGATATCAAGCAGGATCACACAAAAACAAAAGGCTTGGAAAAAAATTGATTAAACGCACGCACACAAAAAAATAGTGAGATAATCTCCAACGTGATGATTGAAAAGCGGTACAAGCCACCCAATCTATAAGGCTTCCTGCGGCCCTGCATGGCCTCTGTTACAACTGGAGCCCACTAGTGGAAAGGAAGCGAATGTGAACAATTTTTCGACACTGACGTTTTGCTGCACTTCCCAGTCGTTCAGACACCTCTCCCTCCTATAGACCGTTCCATTAGGGTCATAGCAGAAGGTAATAGAGAGAAAAAATGCCCTCCCTTTCTCAACCCGCATGTTGTCTGCTCCGCCGAGGGGGCTGTACCTAACATCCGGCTGGCGTGCAAACTGTTTAAAATCGCGTCATTTTACAAATTTCAAACGCAGATGTGCAGATTTTGGTATGCCAGTTATCGTGTAATACTATGCTAGACAAAAAAAACTAACAGGGTCCAATTGCGCTGTCACCTGCGTGCAAATAAAAAAAGAAATAGGGAAAACTGTCAGATTGGCCGGTTTCTCCGGCAAAAAGTAAATCCAGTTGCTGTACGTTTTTTACTATACAAAGTTCGTACTGGTGTAGGCCTTTAGCGACCATGAGTGGAAGTCTGAAATAATAAATAAAAACATGCTCTCTTGCCACAATACACGCAGTAGTTGAGGGTAGTACTACCGGCTGAATCAACTACTATTTAAGTAACGGAAAAAATATATGTCAGTTGATCATTTACCGAAGTAGAACAACAGAGAGCTCTAGGCTGATTTTGGAGTATCCTTAACTATTCTAAGAACGCGAACCCCTTCACAACGGCAGCCACGAGCGAGAAATCAATGTTCCATACAGCCCGCCGGTACAGCCCAAAGATGGAAAACCTCCTGGTTTGTCGACTGCTAGCGGAGCCCGGCGCGTGCCCTCTCTCTCGTTTTACCTCACTGAACCCGCTGAATTTCCTGGAGGTATGGAGAGGGCGCTGCTGTCGAACAAAATGGTGCTGCTCAGAGAGCGCTAAATGGAATGGTCTATACCATGGTCACAAGGTACAGATGAACAGAGGCTTACTGAAAAAAGATTCCTTGTTTTCCGAAAAAATCTTGTCCCTTATTTAAACTACACAAATTAGTGTCATATTGGTCAGCTCATTTAAAACACAATTCCGACATTAAAGGAAAAAAAAAAAAACGTTGGCTGCATGTGGTATCTACCGTAATACCCCGAGAGATAGCCAAACTAAAATTGAAGGCCAGCCGGTAGAACGGTCCTGCCAGTAGAAATGAACTGACAATGCATCAATCGCACACTGCAAATTCCACTTTGACCTAGAACAGGAACACAAGCTGCACATGAATAAAGAGTGAAAAAATCAACAAGTATTTATTTGCGATTAAAACCTTCTTCTAGAACCTAAATCTCTCAATCTGCTGTAAAGGCCTGCAGACCCGTGATGCCTCTCCCAAGTATCAGCGCATGTACATCGTGCGTTCCTGAAAAACAAACAAAAATAAACAAATGGTGAAGCAATATTACCCTAATAAACAGTGAAATGCCCGATGCTCGGTAGGACGCTTAATTTAATAGCTAGATTGCGCATCAATATACAAAGCTATAAAACATCATATTACGAAGGGATAATACTTCTTCAAGCTCGTGGTCAATACCCACTGTGGTCACTTCAGAGCTGTGCCCAGAGTGTATTGGCGCTGTTTTTACCCATTTCTCAACACAACCATGGCAGCCATTTGTTCGGTCGCGTCGCATGACATTCGTTAATTTGTCCATGCCAAGAGCTCGTGGACGCAGTCAAATGTGAACCTCGAAATAGAAGCATGTTTCGATGTCACTCAAACACAATTCCAACAATGCAAATTTTGTGCTACAATTTTTTTTTTTTTTTTGGGGGGGGGGGGGGGGGGGGGGAATGTTTGTAATGTGACATACATGTCCTATTCAGGTGCTTAAGAAAAAAAATATTTTTGGCTATTCAGTACTTTTATGAGCGAGTAGAGAAGGACTGAAAGTGCTTCCCATGTTTTTGGCTAAGCATGTCAAACTAGCCACACTGATTCTAAACAGTAACATGTCTGGGGTAAGGCCACCCTGAAATGCAGCTTATTCATTGAACCCAATTCCCACCACAGATACAAGAGACAAAGCTGCCTTGGCAACAGTCGGCTCCTTCCAGTCGACTTGACCGCACCACGGGCCACGGCGCCGGCACAGCGGGGTCCTCACCTTCGTAGGTGTTGACAGCCTCGAGGTTCATGACGTGGCGAATGACGTGGTACTCGTCGCTGATACCGTTGCCTCCCAGCATGTCCCTGGCGGCGCGGGCAATGTCCAAAGACTTGCCGCACGAGTTGCGCTTCAGCAGAGACACCATCTCGGGGCACACCCTGCGGGCACGCGTGTCCAGATGTGAGCCCCCACCTCCCCCGGCCGTAATGCCCGCAACGTTACTCCGACCGGCGCCGCATCCTCGTTTGTGGTCTCTCTTTTCGCCCGATGACAGCGCCCAAGTGGCGCATTACTGCATGGAGGTAGGAAGCTTGTGGAGGCTACATGACAACACCAGAAGGGAAGCCAGAAGTGTGGAGGGACATGGCCCCAACAATGGCCAAAACCAAGAGATGCTATTGGACAAAAAGGAGAGCTGACTTGGCGCAAACAGCTGTTTTGGTAACCCTCAAGCATGTCTCTTGGTTTTGATCATTGTTGCGGATATCTCCCTCCACAATTCTAGCCTCACCTCTGTTGGCCTCATGTCATTTCCCAGAAGCTTCTTACCTCCATTTGTTATTGCTTGCTGTGATCCCACCAGTGGTACAACAGATGGGAGACACCTGTTCCATTGCAACTCTGCAGCCCGACAATCCATGAAAAGTTACGCAGGCACGAGACGGGACGCGGCGGAGACGACGGCGACCTTCGCATTCGCTCGTCTTCTTTGCCGGCACTTCCATGACTGATTGCTAGCCCCCGACTAGATGCGAACAGCAAAAAATCTCTTTCCAATGCGCTCTCGTGCACTCGTTTCCTTCTGCCGCGCTTTGGCTGTGTGTGCACGCTCCAGGCTCGCGAGACGCCGAAGCACTACTGAAGGTGGGAAGCTCGTACTGGGGGCAGGAGATCTGAAACTCCCCCCAATGTTCTCACCTCATCGGTGAGAGTACACGAGCAGTCTTTTGACAATGTGCAAGTGCATATACAAACTTTGTTTTCAATACTATAATGTTTCCATTTCTCAAGTCGTTGTATTTTATCTATTGGTTATTTGTGCATTCGGCCGTATAATGTGCAATCTACCTTTTTGTGTTGCCTACACTACTGTAATGCCTCTCAGGCATTCATATAAATAAATAAATAAATAAATAAATAAAAAAAAAGACAAATCGCTAAATCCGACAGAATGACAAAACAGCTTCCTTGGCGTCATTTGTCGCCACTTCAGGACTACTTTTCATACATAGGTGGCATAGGACACTAAAGACATTGGTTGAAGACACATTCTAGGTGCCGTGCTTCCAGCAGAGGAGGCCTCGCGCGTCTGGAGGGGCACTCACTTTCCCTCGTCCATGAGGCGGCCCACCCGCAGGCAGCCCTGGAGACCCAGGGAGATCTCTGTGAGCATGTCGGCCAACTTCTTCTGGACCAGCTGGTTCTTGGCCAGCGGGGACTTGAACTGGATCCTGCATGAGACAAAGACCGCGTCGTCGATGGGACCGTGAAACGAGCTCGGCCTTGTGCGATGCGACAGACGCCCACGTGATGCCTTAACTCATCTCAGCTAGAAGCCTCAGTTCCAATGTGCAGTCTCGAATTTTCGATTTCTGACAACTTCGAGACGGGCGATTCGGCAATTATAGTCCTCCAATCTCTATAACTTTCGCCCAGGTCAACCGAGAGCCCTTTCAAGTAACATGCTGGAACAAAAAAAAAAAAACTCAATTAGCTTGAGTAGCAGTCTTTTCCTGATAAAGGAGCTGAATACAGTTTGTTCCAGAAGCAGATGTCATTTACAGGCTTCCGTAAAATAACCTCCCCTACAGTTAGTTTCACTTCATACGTGAGCGAGGCCAAAGTTACGAGCATAAGCTTGTTTCCCCTAAGGGGAGACATGGCCTCGAAATTAAAAATTTTCAGAAAACATTTTTTTTTTTCAAAAAATTATATGCTTATGTTTATTACCTTCCAAAGAATGGTTTCAGAAAGTTTTATTTATAAACATGCAGGGTTTATCTCACAATAAATTATTTTCAACATGTCGGGAGCCCTCCAAGTCAGCAGGGAGCAAGTTTAGTGTGTTTTTTATTTAGTGCTGCTTCATACTCGTTTAACATAGCCAAAACATCTCACCCTCACTGGAAGCGTCATTTACTCTAGATTTAGCCCGTAGAGGCTTTCAAAGTTTAAAAGTATCAATCACCAGGAGAACCTTTTACATCCGACAGGAAAAATCCTGAAAATTTGGTATGGCAATCTTATTGGTTGAGACCCGAAACAGAATTAACGATTGGTCCTGCCCGGTGACGTGATATTATGTCATCTTCAGTAACACCCTTTCACAGTATCTTCCACTTCAGATCATAATCCTGCTTTGCTGCTCTTCCTTAGTATGATTTGCCTCTTCTTGCCAGTTTATCTGTCAAGGAATACCTGCTACAAAAGTTAGCTTGCCTACAAACGACATAAACTGGCAGCTCTTGCGAGGGGAAAAACAAAGACTCAAAGAGGAAGGGGCTAACAATGCTCCATCTGAATTTTGCCTACCTCAGACTCATAGAAAATGAAGAAATCTAAGGTTGAAACTTCAAATGGATTTTTCTCAGTTTCAGTTTTTAGCAGGAAATATGGTATGAGGAAATGTATCATTTGACATTCTGAGAGTGTAAAGATTTCATTCAATGGTGTTCTGGACTGAAATTTCCTGAGGAACAAGTTATAAGAGTATTCTACTTCACATTAAAACAAACGTTTTGTGGACTGCAATTATTACATTGTTTAAATACATTTCCTCCTCAAGTCACTTTTCTCTGGAGCTTTTTAAGCATTTTGTGTTGTTGAATTGGCCTACAAGACTGGAACTTTAGATGTCATCAATCCTAATGGGGCTCAATTCATCTTGAAAGTTTGAATCAATTTAAGAGAACGGTTCAAATGTTGACCCCCCCCCCCCCCCCCCCCCCCCCCCCCCCAGGCCATGTCCCCCCTCTTAAAGGGCCCATGAAACAAATTTTGGGTTGGGATAAATCATTTTAGATTGGGATTTTACTAATAGCACATTGTTCAATGGGCCAAAAGGAAAAAGGTAGAAAGTCAAAAGCCTGACTTCCAAAGCGAAAATTTGAAAACACAGCGGACTATTTCGTACCTCCTCCCCCTTCGCAAGCTCTCTGCCTTTTCACTGTTATACATCCGCGGTCCCAAAAGCGCGTCATCAAGTCCAAACGCACATCACATGAAAGCGGACCTCTCTTAGTCCCTTTACCCTAAGCTGACATTGTGGTGGGAGCTACGCGCTTGCCGGACCAATCAGCAGCCTTCCTTTCATCACCTGACCTCATGCTCTGCCCGGGGGTATGCGCGAGAGACTGGCCCAACGAGCACGTAGCTTCCACAGCACTGTCAGCTTCAGGGTGAACGGGTTGGGGAAAGCAACTTTCGTCCAAATTTTTAGCGACAGGCTAATCTTCTAGGGGGACAATGGCTCTGTCCGGGTACACAAACCAGATTCCGAGCAAGAGGGGCCTCCCCTTTTTACGTCTTCTTGAACTGTTTGGTGGAATGTGTGATTTATGAGTTGAGGAGGAGAGCTAAACAGGAAAAAGTTAGAAGAGCATTTCATGACCCCTTTAACAATGCATCCACTGTATGGGCTCACATGCTCGGCGGGAACGCAGCAAGTCCCAAGCTCGTCTTTGTGCCTTCTGCTCCATGTGCAGTTAAGGTGAAGTGGAGTTAGCAGTAAGCCAGCAACATCATAAACGTGATATTTTACCTTACGCTTATCTTCTTAAAGCAGTTTCCATGCCACGAGTCACCAAGGTTCTCAACCTTGGGATCTACTTTGACTCAAGGGTTTCTTTTTCTTGTCATGGTTCATGCCACTTTTGTACGAATGATGGGTCTGCAACATCACTTATCATGCAACTTTACCAATTCTTTATATGATGTCAGATTGGTTTTTTTTTTTCGTGTCTAGTACGAGCAAAAGTTGGGTTTGGTAGTGTGATACAAAAGTCGCTGAATGCCACTAAGGCGTCACAGATAGAAAAAGTGCAGAAATATTTTATTTGTCTTGTCTACGACAAATACTTTGGTACAAGGTGCTATTATGACCACAACAGTATTCTTAGAAGGCTATGCTTATAAAATTTATCAAAGTGAAGACTATTTTGTGATATTTCATTTTTGAATAAAGCACGAAATGGCCACATCGATGCTGACCTCTCAATTTTCATGTGCCTACTCGATCCTGTAGATTATTTTCTATTCTCACTTTCAATACTGCTTCCATTAACCCACGTGCAAAGTCTATCTCAACAAACTAGACTCATCGCTTTAAGATGTTTTTGGTAAATTTACTCGTTTCAAGCATAATCTTGACTACGCACTGTGTTACGTTTAGAACATGTCTCTCGTAAAATACTGCTGGATCTTTTTTTTTTTTTTTTTTTTATCAAATTTTGTATATTGTGCTACTACAGCACGACCTCACAGTTGTTCTCGGGCACTGAAGAAATAAACAATCATTGGGTGGTTTCATTTGCTATCGAACAAGCTAGCCTACTGAGGTGGTTATTTTGATTTGCCTCAAAAAATGTTACATTATAGTCCCATTTCTGCAATAAATATAGCCCTTTTTTTTTTCTTTTCCACAAAACATTTGAGGTGGAGCAAGGTGAAACGCTACATTTAGGCTGCTTGATTTTCATACCCAGTTCTATCGGTTGTTTTAAATAGGTAAAAACAAAAACGCTCACAGTAAGTTTTCTTGGAAATGTATGACGCATGGCCAATTATTTTACTTTACTTAGACTAAAACTACCTCAAAATATTTCATGCAAAAAAAAAAAAAAAAAGGCAAATGTGGCATGTGACGTTTTGACAACATAATAGGAGCCTTGCATCTTACGATTCACCATACATTGTTCTTATTAAATGCTAAATGACTGTAGACCTATACATCTGCTATTGACTGGTACCCCTTTTGTTGAATTTATTGAAAGAAAATAATTTATATACATTTTTAAATGTCATCAAAAAGTAAATTTAGCTATAATTTCAGCCAGCATTATCAGAGAAAGCAATTTTTTTTTTCTTATTTCCATATTGTTCCCATTGATGTTAACTTCCTGTGCACATAACCAAAGTTGCTCCTTTTCTTGTTGCATTTTCTGTAGAAGCACTCGAACACAAAGATACATGCACCCGAATCGGCAAAAGGATAGTTTAACAAGTTGGCTTTACTGCGAGGTTCTCTAGCCCTTAAATGATAAGGGCAGAGGTGTTGGAAGCGTTTCGAAGGCGAGGGGGGCGACAAAAAGTGGCGGTGGAGAAGGGGGGAGAGGAGAGTGCTGTGTGGACATACCCACATTAGTAAACAATGTCTGCCCAAATGCCTCTACTGTTCCAATGCCAATTAACAACTTTCACGACCTATAGGGGGCGCAAAGGTGCCTATCAAAATGGCCGTCATCTGGATCGTCGTAGAACAGCGGTCCGAGGCTGGGTCTGCGACGTATAAGTAATTCTCGTTTTGCTATATACGAGCAGTATTAGAGCCTTACGTTATTTTTCACGCCAGGAAGGTGTAGGCAAGCTCATTTATTATGAGGCCAATCATCCAAGAGCTAGGGAGCGCGATTCTCACACCGCGGTACCACCACTGAAAGGGGGGGGGGCAAGGAGATTTTAATTAGGACACTTGTTTGGGCTGCATAATTTTGTTTATCTCCGTAGTGTATATAATACTTCCTTATCCATCATCTCGTCTGTCTTTATCTGCTGTTAAAAACCGTAAGACAAGACCTGCAACTGGCAGTCTGTGTTGGAGCTATCCTTCCGATTTTCTGCTGAAGATTTTACATTCCAAGTTGCTTGTGTCCAGTTTCATCAATGGCCCAAGTAAGTTTAGAGTGTATAAAGCTGGAGCAGCTAGGGGACAGGAATGCTAGTGACAATGCCAGGTCTACCGTTTGTATCTGGTTTTAACAACGCTAAGAATCGAATTGGTAAACTCTCTGGGAAGAAAAGAACAGGACAAATCGGAGAACACAAAAAAGATGAGGGACAAAAAATATTACATATACTACTACACTGAGATAAGCACCCCGACTAAAGTGTCCAAACTTTATTATTAATAATAATTATAAAAATAATAATATTATTATAAAAAGCATGTATTGCCAGTAACGTCAGAACAGTGGAGGGGTAAGGGCAGACATTTTTTTTCCCTGATTCCAATAACCCTCCCCCTTCCCCCCTCTCCACCACAATTTAAAAAAAAATTAAAACCGAGGACGCTAGAGGAGTGGGCCCGACCCAAGGGCACGTCAGAACACAGAAAAGCCATGATCGATTTACTAGTGGATTACGTAGGAATATCTGGTACCCATGATCTCATCTAGTCTTGACATAATCCCCTACCCCAACACCTGTATGTAGGTGCTTAAGCCTCAGCATAACTCAGCCAAGGAAGGCCATTCTTTGATAAAAGTAAATATGCACAGGTTTTCACTCACTCCCTCCGTCGCCCCTTCACCTCCTAAACACATTTGGCCCCCCTGCCCTTCGCGTTTTAAAGCTAAAAAAACCTTGCAGTAAAGTCAACTTGCAAAACAACCCTTTTGCCGATTCGGGTAAACGATCTGGTACCCATCATCTCATCTAGTCTTGACGCAATCCCCTAACACTGTAGTCCCATAAGCCTCAGGATAACTCAGCTAAGGTAAGCACTTCGATAAAATAAATACACTTTGACAGGTTAAAATACAACAAAAAGGGGGGAACTTTGATTATGCACACAAGCAATTACCATCATTAAAAATTTTTAATGTGGGTTCAAATTATGGCTAAATTTACTTACCACGAAATCCTGAGAGATAGCCCACCTAAACTCGAGAAACAATTGGGTGAAAATGAGGAGTGGACATATTTTATGGGCAACCAAGAAAAGATGAAAAAAAAAAAATGCTATTTTTAGATCATGTGGTTTTGTCAAACTTGTTATCGCAGTAAGGGGCAATGAAGCAAAGATAATTGCACTTCCCAGTCAGCAATGTTCACTTATATCCCGTCGTAGCAACTAGACACATTTGCGCCTAGGGGTCATTGATACGAACACTATGATTACTAGAAGTGGGCTATCTTTCGGTGTTTAAAAGAAAATAGCGAATCAAGCCAAAAATAGGGGTGGGTTACTATTTTCAGGGGTGGGACATCTGTCGGGATTTTACGGTACCTATGAAATATATAGATTATCATGTGTGAATAAATTAAACTAAAGTGGTACCAGTCGATAGCACATGTTTAAGCCTACAGGCACAAAGTAAGTACTCTTTAACAAATCTTAAGATACAGAGCTCCAAATATGACACCGAAACGTAAAAGATGTGATAGTTAGATTTTTTTTATTTCTGGCATGCAATATGCCAAAGCAATGTAGTTTAAAGAAAAAAAAAGTAGGCCATGCATCAAATATTTACAAGAAAAAGCTGATGACGTCGGCTCGCTCCATGAGACAATTAATGCTTTCGCATTAAAATTACTTTGTTTTCTTTTTCACCCATTTATAACAACCAACAGAACTGGGGACAAAAATCAAGCAGCCTAAACGTACCATTTCACCTTGCTCTGCTTCAAAATTTTTAGGGACAAAAATAATTTTTCTTGCAAATTTAAAAAAGTGGTTTTGTTCATTGCAGAAGGCAAATCGAGACACCCACCCTGACATCCGTGTTCGGCTTAAAATGAAACCACCCATTATTATTGTTAATATCGCAAAGCTGTTTTTCCTGAAGGACCACCCACCGGTCAAGCGTGTACTGTCGCGCAGTCTCCAGGCAGAACTCAGCCGCACCCAGGGCACCCCAGGAAATGCCGTACCTGGCGCTCGTCAGGCACTGGAACGTCGACTGGAACATGCCGTGGAACGACGGTCGGTCAAGACAAAGGGCAAAAACAGTCAGCCAGCAAGGCATTTCAGACACCAGCCATGGTGCAAGGCGGACCACATAGAGAGGGGTAATGGACAGAGCCCTAAAATAACCAATTATAACGATTTAACCTAATGCAATCAGCTACAATTTGGGCAAATAAATACACTTTCAGTGAAATTTCAGAACCGTCCAAGTGAAAGCTGAAGTCGCGAAAAACGGCCTTGACGGGGCTTCGCCGAAAAAGGCATCAGCCGCCACTCCAAGGTTTCCAGGAGGCTCCTTTTCAAGTTCTTCATGCCAACTTCAACTACTCTCACGATTACGTAACTCGACTGGCAGTGTTTGCAAGTAACGCGAATCTGCGAGTGCAAAATACATCTGGGAGAGACATGAATCTGCAAGTGGCATAGTACCCTCGCAAACAATATGGGCAGTAACACACAAACCGATCTTTTCCCGCATCTGCGTTCCCCCCAAGCTCCGTTACTGTCGAGACCGGTTATAACGAAGTCAACGGGAAACGGAAATCACTTCGCTATATCCGCTACTTCGTTATAACCGACTTCGGTTATAACGAAGTGCAAAAGGGAATGGGAAATCGTGATCGCTTCGCTGTAGCCGCTATTTCGTTATAACCGATTTCGCTATAACCGGTCTCGACAGTATCTCTCTCGATCTGTCACAGAGTTTGAAGAATGGGACCTAGACTTTGTGCTCGTCCACCAGTTTGAAACAAAACTTTCTTCAGAAATCCGCAGGGACAAATGAAGGACCATAGCAGCTCATATTGTTCGCGACAGTTCATCTAGGACTGACGCAATCATGCGAGCGGCACAGCAAATCCTCGCAAACGGCAAAGTATGTCCGAGAGTGACCCGCGACGATCCTCAGTGCTGTGTCGAGATTAAGTACCGTATTTACTCGCGTATAGGTCGACCTGTTTTTCAAAAATCGCCTCATCAAAACTGGGGGGTCGACCAATACGCGAATCCCGGTATTATATTTTTCAACTTTTTTTTTTTTTTTCGGGGGTCCCGAAGTTAGGGGGTTGACCTATACGACGTATCGACCAATATGCGAGTAAATACGGTAATACTGCAAGGGGTTGCTTGTCGGGGAAGGGAAAAAGAGAGGGGATGCACCTTGAGCCCCAGGGACTTCGGCAGCAGGGCGTCTTCGGGCACCACCACATCCTCCATGAGGATCATGCCCGTTGTGGAGGCCCGCAGGGAGAACTTGCCCTCGATCTTGGGTGCCTCCAGCCCCTTGGTGCCCTTCTCCAGCACGAAGGCCCGGATCTGGCCGTCATCACACTTGGCCCACACCACAAACACGTCCGCTATCGGCGAGTTCGTGATCCTGTCCCGTCGAAAAGGTTCCGCCCTCTTGTAACGGCCGAACCTGCTACGGTGCCTCGAAAGAGTCTTCGACCTGTGTGTTTACCGTCTTGTCCCGCCGGATGCGGGAAACGCACAAGTCGGAGACGCGCTCCAGGCATCGTGCACAAACTGCCAGAGAGTGCCTAGCCAGCGTGGCACGGCCCGGCCACTTTGTGACCGAGTGGGCCAAACGGGTTGTTGCTCGCAACAGCTCGCTCAACGGGGACCGTAGCGCGCTGCTGACGCTTTGCTGTCTCGGTAGAGCAGATGCGACTTGGTAACCGGTGGTGTCAGTAACCAAAAGTTGGCATATCTTGGTTCATCTGGGCTATGCTTGCACCCTACTCTCCTGTTTTTAATTTTAGAAACAAACTACTCGCTTCTGCTTACACCTGCTGATGCACACTGGGGGGCTTTCAGCGTGACGGCACAACTAGCTGTTCAAAAATTAGTTGTAGAGAAGGAGTGTACGACAGCTTTAAGTTTTCCAAGCTTTGGCAAGCTCTCACAGTTCACACCTCTCTTGCTATTTTCATAAGCATTAAAACTCCACAAATTTTGCCACTCCTAAAATTAACAGGAGCTTATGAAAATGAAAGACTTCGAGTATGAAGCATGACAGAATGTTCCTTGGTATTTTCGAGATTTAATTAATTTATGTATCAATGTGAATATAGTACTGTTGTATGTAACAGACAAATTGTTGAAAAAGGGAGGTTTGCTACAGGCCGGTCTCTTCAGATTTAGGAACCCTCTCCAGAGAAGCTGCTCAGGCCCACATCGGGAAAGCAGTAACTATACCTTGGTTATACTTTTGGAGTAATAACCTATAACTTATTAAACTCCAATCACTCGGTCAAAGTTCATTTGCAGGTACAGAAACTCGCACCGACATAGTGTCGATGTATGCGCTGTCGCTGCCTCAAGCTCTGCCGTGAGCAGCGTGCCAGAAAGGAACCTGAACCGAGCAGACATATTTCCCAAAATAAAAACTGTGCCATTAGCCAGTAATCGTGGCACACCTCGACCTAGTTGGGACATTCCGAAAGTAATTTAAGTGCGACTTTGTCACCTTTTGCGAGTAGCTGTAACTTTAACAAAATGTTTGTGGGTTCACAGCAAACATCTGTAACCTTTTCGGGTTTGCCCGGTTACCCTCCAGCAGTGAGTGTGCCTCTTCCAGAGTCTCACCACGTCTTGCTGCCGTTGAGGGTGTAGGTCTTGGCCTTCGAATCGTGCACCGCACGCGTCTCCATGCCCCCCGGGTTGCTGCCGTGGTTGGGCTCGGTCAGGCCGAAGCAGCCCACCAGCTCGCCACGGGCTGCCAGGGGTCGGGACAAAAGATGCGCACATGATGCAACTCTTGGTCCGTACGCCACCCACGAGAAAGGGCCCAAACCTCGTCAGGCCAACCTGAGTCTGCTTTTCTTAACGATCGTCGGGGACACAAAAATGAGCGAACTTACATCCTGCTAAATTGCTGTGGCATGTTTTTCACCAGTTATCTCTTCATTTTGGGTGGGCGTCCTTGCGGGATTTTACGGTAATCCAACGATGCCAAGATCCCGTATTGTAAGGCAATAGGTTTGGGCAGTGGTTCTCAAATGGGGCTCCGCGGACCCTTCGGGGTCCGCGAAGGCATCCTAGGGGTCCGTGTTCATCAGTCTAGCCCGGCAATAAAAGTTTTTTTTCCAGGTCGAGAGGAAATGTTTCAGTTTTTGGGCGAGTTTCCTCGTGTGCATGTCAATAAGAAAAGTCTACTTTACACTGGCCCTTACCTAAATTCATTTATTCAATTATTATTATATTTAACCTATACCTCCCCTCACCCCGAACGGGGTCCTCCATCATCTCCGCTGATCCACAAAGGGTCCGCGAAACATCGATGGTTGAGAACCACTGGGCTTGGGAGTTTCCACACCCTCCCATGTAGCCACCGCATGGCCCAAGCCATGTGCTTACCTAACTTGGGCAAGTACTTGTCCTTCTGGGCGGAAGTGCCAAACAGGTAGATGGGCAGCATCACCAGCGAAGACTGTACGCTCATGGCTGACCGGTAGCCACTGTCCACCCTGCACAAACACTCACATCAAACAAACCCCTTCCCACAGCCTCTGCCGCAATCGTTAGGCGTCTGGTGACCGTGGTACGTTTTCCACACAGTTCTCCCGCTGACCGAGCAGTCACCCAATGCTAACGCAGTCGAAGACGATAGCACCTTTGCAACTCAATAAGCTTTTAGGGGCACCCGGCGCCAACGGCATGGTGCTCAAGATGTATCTCCAATCGGTATCCTTATTTTGTCGTCGATTTCTGGCCCACGACATCCCGACTGCGCGATGTTCCAAATCGTTGTCACAACGATCCCGGCTGTGGCGGCAGCAGACGCCAGTAATTCGTGGCTCACTTTGCAGCATGGCGACGGGTTGGGATGCCACTACCCAAGCATTGCCCACATTCATTTATCTTCTTCGCCACCCCTGAGCAACTAACCGCCGGAATTACAACAGTTTGCGACATCAAACGGCGCCTCCCACAACAAACTCCAGCATCGCTTCTGGAACACTCTCCAACACACGGACGGTGTGTGAAACCACGTGCACCAGCCGAATACCCATTCAGAGAAGCGCACTTGAAAGGAAGCGAGGCCGCCACGGCCGTGAAGCAGAAAGAGCCGCTCACCTCTCAACTTCACGGGCAATAAGCCCGTACGAGACGTAGGAACTTCCGGCGCAGCCGTAACCCTGCAGCGTCAACCCCAGCACGCCAAGTTCGCCCATCTCGTACATGATGTCCCGGTCGAAGGCTGCGGGAACCAAGCGGATGGCACTTGAGATATCCCACACGAGCCGAGCGTGTCGAACTGTCATAGACTCATCAACTCTGAGCGACATCAATGTCATACTTCGTTTCACCTTGAGTCTAGAAACAGCCGACGCCAACCCCCGGACATTTCCTGTAGGGTCAATGGAGTCTACTTTTGTACAGCAGTGCCAAATTCCTCTTTTATGGTGGGGCGCTCTCATTACTTGAACGAGTTGACAATTTATTTTATAATTAGTACATTAGGAATTCAAATTAACAGCTAACCGCGTTATTAAATAAAATATGTTTCTAACTTTTCAAACAGGCTTCTTTTGACACAAGTTGCTCGGAATACTCTACTTTGAAGCTGTTTCCAAGCGAAACCATAAAAATTTCACATGGCGCCTCTCAATTTTTGTGGGGTGGTTGCCACACAAGCTTTTTGTGGTCGTGCTGCAGAGAGGCTCCTCTGCAGCATGCACGGCACTATGTGATTTCACTTTCAGCGGTATAAGTTGCAATCATTTTAGGGACTTTTAGCAAACCGTCACCATGTTCTGCGTATCGCACTGCCGGAGCCTTTAAGGGGATACTTCAACGAAATTTGAAATATACCCGTCCGGTTCAAAAATAGGTTGGGTATGATCTACAATATTCGTAAATGACAATCGCACGTTTGTATTTCGAGCGTGGTGGCTGTATTTTTCGTTTAAATGACCCAATCTGGTAAGCACTCGAAGATCAGCCAGCGGAGAGCATGTGACATCCAATGCAATCGTGACGTAGTTCGCCTTGGGACGAGCAAAGCTGCAGCGAGGCATGGGCGAGGCTCACGTTGAGAGGATAGCCTAGTCGTTCCAGCCACCGAAGCGGCTGCTTTTGTATGAATTTTGAGTGACGGGTTTATCTTCTATAATCTTGTAGAGGGACAATAGCGACTTCTGGGATGCACAAAAGAGATCCTCAGGGAAAGGGGAGCTCCTCCTTCCACCTCTTCTCTTGTGGTGGCCGGAGACGAGACAAACGTCTTCACATCTGCCAAGGTTCCTAGGCGGTCATTACAAACAAGACGTTAGCGACATTCACCAGGTGCTCTTTGCCAATCATTTAATTCGTTTTAAAAATCCTCTTTGTGTCTTTCTTAAAAGAATATTGGTGTGTCCGATGTGATACTGCTCCTTTGAACACATATAGACCAAAAAATAAGCGCCGAAATTTCGCTGTAGTATCCCTTTAAAGTACGCTCTTAAGCGCACACCCCGCGGTCATGGTGTCACCGGGGCGAGCACTTGAAAACATGGTTTGAAGGCTCCGGTAATGTGGTACATGAAACACGGTAACAGTGTGCTAAAAGTCCCTTTTATTTTTGTGGGTAGTCTTGTTTGTTTGTTGTTCCGTTTCGAGCACTTCGGAGACGTCCAGCCTAGAGCTCTGTATGGCCGTGAACCAGACCTCCCACGAGGAATCGGAGGCACATCCGAAATATTTCGAGGCACATTTATTTTACATTAACAGCTCACAAACACATCAAGTACAGCACTACATGCATACACAAAAACATAGAATCCTGACACCCTTCCTTTCTTGGAAGGCCTTTAGGGGTAATCTGGATAAATGAATCAATTTTCCCTATACTGATAAATTGTCATAAAATATTTACACATCTTTACAAATGTACACATATATTTACCCACACATTTACACAGTCAACATACAAAATTGGATGAGTTAGTTCTTTGTTCAGCTGTCACTGAAATTAAATAGAGTTGAACCTCAATTTAACGAAACCCGATTTTACGAGTTTCCCGATTTAACGAACAAATTCGGATTCCCCGCGCAGCCTATCCCGAAGAATGTCTTTCTCGACTTTACGAAGTTCCCAATTTAACGAAATAATTAGGGCGTCCCGGTGACTTCGCTAAATCGAGGTTCAACTGTGGTAGGTTGTTCCCTCATTTAAGAACTAGGTCACTTTAGTTAGTCCTCAGCAATAGCTTTGTTTTCACAAATTCAAAACTTAGCAAACAAGCAAGGTGGAAAGGCGGTGAAATCGTCGAGACTAATCGTTATCCTCAGTGAATGTTATCGTCTTGTGGCGACGTCGACGTAGTCACCTGCCAAGGCGGTTTTTAGAAGAGAAGACGACGGAAGCCGAAAGGACTCTGAAGCCGAAAGCAGTACCAGGAATTACATATCTCCATCCGGCCTGGCTCCCTTTGAGAAGCAAAGAGTCGCCAGGACGAAGAGACGCGGTGCGAGGAGAACCGGAAAAGAGGACATCGTTGGGGAAGAGAAAGAAGAAAGGGACCCCGACGAGTCGATCCAAGATGCTGTCCGTCCGGCACACGTGCGGGGACCATGCATCGGTCCTTCCGTTTGAGTTGCAAAATCTGATAGTTTCGGAAATGTTGGCACTGAACGGGCTGTTGAACTGGTGGGAACCACGAAGTATATGTCCGAAGCACCATGATCCAGAGCCAAGAGGAAACGCTCACGCTTGGTCGCTCTGTCATGACAACGCGACATTATCATTACAGCATGTGTAATGACAATGTGGTAACAATATCTAGATTTTTAAACGTAAAGAGGTCGAACACAACAAAACTATCATATGCGTGGCCAGGATCAAATGAAATTAATATCAAAGTAAAAAATAAAGCCGAAATTCGCCTCTCTGTTATCCTCCATCTGCTTAAAAACCGCATGAGAAAGCTTCATGGTTAAGCCGATTGTAACCTTTTAAGTATGGAGTTGTGCACTAGGTAAAGTGGGGCTGCACCATCTCTACAACTTTAAATCATACTACATCGCAACTTCATTTCGTAAAATATATTACTAGTAGGCAGCTATGGACTGCAGCTATGGACAGCTACTAACAGCTATGGACAGAGAAAATTCAATTGCAACATTTCTGGGGGGAAATAAAATTATGAATACAACGGAGGTGCGAACTCCCCTGTCGTTCGCTGGGATGAAGAAAAAAAAACATCTTGTAGTACTTGTCGTTTGCCTTTGAGAATGGCCACGTCAAATGCGTTCGCACGAACCTCGCGTAACGAAAACCATGCGCAGCGACGCAACCGTTACAATGGTCACAATGTTGGAAGAAAGAAGCAGTGGCACAGAGGCCCGGGGCGCCAGCGCGTCGGACGACTTGACAGCTCATGCAAACACCGCCCGGTTGTTTGATAAGTTTGTTTTCAGACCTAAAGAGGATCAAATAGAAATTAAGATATAAATAAATTTTATTCTCATGATGCGTCAAATACGTTTTATAAAAAGTAGTGTTATATAAAGTTTTATATTTTCGTTTTTACTGTAATGAGAGCGCCCCACCACTGAAGAGCTGCTGCTGGTGGCAACGCTAATGTCAACGCCGCGAAACTAAAACTTTGATCGGGGGTTGTCGACGCTACAAGCTGATGGGACCAATCTGGCAACATCAAAAGCACACCATCATGGTGTTCGTCGAATTTCTGTATGTGTTCTATCATCACTGAACCAATCATAAACAAAAGAGACCAAGTGACTTGCACTTTTCACGCAGCTTGATTGGTCTCATTACCTCGTAGCATAGGCTGCGCCACAAATATGACAAAAGAAGAAAATAAACACACAAGGACATTGTAGAAGTTCAAAGTATCTGTCTGTTCAGTTCTTCTCTATTTTCCTCTTTGTGCACAAATTTTTTGTGTTTTGTTTTCGTCAGAAACTACACACTGAGATGATATCAACTGTAAAACCATTGCATCACTATGTATTTTTGTGACATCATACAAAAATTTCCATATGAAATTTGGGAGTTTACACGTCGGACCAGTCTGGGGCGTGTGGCGTGTTTCTGCAAAAGGGCGAGTTAGAATTAATTTAATCAGTGGAGTGAATTAAATTCATATTTTGTGCAATCTTAGCACATTCTCCAAGTTTCTTGGTCCCAGTAATTCACTGGCCTTGCCCTCAGCTAAGCTTGTTTCGCGGATCAGAATGTCCGGATCTCCGTGTGCTCCTGCCCTGCCAAGTGCCAGGACAATTCGTGGGGCAGGTCAACCGTACACATAACTCGAAACCGTGTCACGTCGTCGGAGCACTCACTCTCGTTTCGGTTGGCCATGAGCACTCTGGGGAAGAGTTTGCTCTGGCAGTAATCCCTGAAGGTGTCCCGGATGAGACGTTCCTCGCTGGTGAGCTGGTCCTCCAGGCACAGGGCGTCTCGGTAGTCAAACACCCCTGCACACGAGAGACTGTTGTGTCGCACGCGCCTTCCTTCTCTGCCGTTGCAATACTTCCTTTTCTTCTCTTCTTTTTTCCTTTTCACAAGCGTTAGGCTGCTGCACACATGCAGGGCTGTAAGGTAACTGTACCATGCTTCATATATAGTGTATAACACGTGCCATGCTGTCGAAGTTGCTGGCGCGAGTGCGAGGCTTTATCTAGCACTTCATTTACGCACAAGCGACTGCAAATGAAATGCTAGATAAAATTACACACTCAGACCAGCAACTTTCATCGTGTCATACACCATGAACGAAACAGAGTGTCACAAAAATTTATATACTTTCCAGGTTACATTAGAATTTCAGCAACTCAAACTGTAACTTACTTAAGCAGTTACAGCAGTAGCTACACATAGTTGTCGTCTCAAATCTCTGCCGTGAGCAGTGTCTATACCTTTTCTGCGTAAAAACCTGAACTTTCAGTCAGCAATTACAGCAAACCTCGACGTCGCGGAATGTTTAACGAGTAATTGGAAGTTAATTTAGTTACATTTCATAAGCAACATTAAACTGCTAGTAAATAAAAAAAAAAATGTAAATGGATTTGTAATTTAGTTACATCTCAACTCGAGTAACTGCAACTTAACAATTTTTCACGAGTAACATTTACAGCTCTGTTTACGGGCATCCAGATTGACAAGTTGTCTTTCACTGGCCCCATTCTTCACCCATTGTAGGTTAAAGTACATCTAAAAAGTATTTGAAGCACAAAGAAATTTAGAGGCTATGTACTTTAAGTATAAAGTACACTGGGTGCAATGTACTTGAACTAAAGTAATATAATATAATGAACTTCCAAAGTAAAGTACAAGTACTTTTGACACAATCTTCCATGATGCAGGTTATCAGGTAGAGTCAAATGGCCACGGAATAATTATTTTTGGAAATGGCGCCAAATTTAACAGTTCCTCCAACTTCTGAATTTGACACAGCTTGCACCCAAAGGCGTTTATGTACTAGGAGAAAGCATGACGTCATCACTATAATTTCCGCAAGCACTCTTCTCGTGGAGGAGTGTGTTCTCCTAATAATTTAACCTCCTCACTTGGTTGAAAAAAAAAACTTTAAGTAAAGTAGACGTTAAGTTAAGATTTTAATGGCGCAGCGGCAACGGTGGCCATAATGCGCCAAGAGTAAAGTAGACGTACATCCTCAAATAATGTAATTCAAGTAAAGTACAAGTTTTCTAAGCCTACTTCAAGTAGTATTTTAAATACAATGTACTTTAAATACTTCCCAGCACTGTCTCCACCTCACTAGAGGAAGGTCTTGTCTGCTCTAAAATAGGCTCTTATTGCAAAGGATGAATTGTACAGTGAATAGGAATTGCACACCATCGTTATTTAAACACAAGCAAGTACAGAGTCCATTCATGTTAAAACAAACAGTGGTGAGAATTGAACTGATTATCTTAAAGTCTGCACCGTGACCCACAGCAGTGTTGCGGAATCAGAACTCCCATTTCCCTTCCAGGGGTTGGATTTTCCGATAATTCCATTCCTTCGAACTCCAAGGAATGGAAACACTAGGCCCATTCCTCCCAGAGCTGCCGCTATTCCATTCCCTATCCACTCGGGGGTCGCGGAAGGGCAGAATGATCCCGGAATCATCCCAACTCCAGAGTGGCAACTCCGCAACATTGACCCCCAGCGCATCGACATGGCCACCGAGTGTCTAGCTGAACCGGGTGGCTTGTACCATTCTTTGTGGCAAAATCCCAGGGGTGAATTTTCAGACAGCGTGATATAGCTGGGGGTAACATGTCACCAAGCTGTCATTCCACGACAATGTCCGACAACAGTGTTGGGGCATTGCAACCACTTGATACATGGTAACCGGCGTTCCCAAGGCAAAGTTTGATTGTACCGTCAGATTACTCCAGTCACTTTGACGGAAACTTTTTAACAAGAAGTCATGCATATATACTTACGTTTTTCGGTAGAAGCAGCATTATCTGAGCAGTTTGTAGTTAAGGTCAGTACCGCAGGAGTTTCGGGTAACGTTACCAAGTGAAAAAAATTGAAGTCAAGCAGCGAGAGAGAGCTTTAGCTATGGGTGTTATTCACCAGACGAAAGGCATGCTTGTTGTTCAATCCACTACTCCCGCACATAACAAGCTCCCACTTGGCGCGTTCGGAAATGGACACATACTGTGGAATGCACGTTGCAGAAGCATAGCAAAAGCTTGCTGTTAGCATGCACTCAGCAGCAACGGACTCGGCTACGGCAGCCTACGAGCTAAATAACGATCCGTGGAAAAGGCAGCTGTCCATGCATGCATTAAATTTTTTGGCGATCCCAAATACGACAGACCAGAACGGACTGGAATTTTTCTGGAGGCAAGCAGTATACCCAGGGTACTTTTGGATAGACTGCCGAGAACTTGCCAGGTTTTCTCCGGGTTCAGTTTGTCTAACATTAGAAACGAATGGCACTTGGCTGTCGGGTGCACTCGAGTCCACACGACTGAGCTTTGCCGAAGTACGAAGGAGGTCGATGGACACAAGACGGAAAATCTCCGGGGGTGACCCCGTGACGCGAGAACACCTGTTGGTCCAGGGTCGGCACAGCGTCGAGGCGACGCGATAAGGATACGTGCAGACGACAGGCCGATGTTCCTCAGCGTGGCCACTTTTCTCACGGATCTCCGAAGAAGACGACAAGCCGTGTTGAGCAGCATGTTCACGACCACTGTGTTCACGACGTGCGGCTGTCTGCACCAACTGATAAAGAATGGAAAAACGACACTTTATCGACTTTATAGTCGTCTTGGAACTGGCTGTCGATAACCCCTATGATATCTATAGCCTCATAATCACGTCCATGCCTGCAGCACTTTCACCAGTAGCGACGTCGCGGCGTGACAACGTTCAACGTTTCTAATGTCACCACCACGTCAACCACGTGACTACCACTGTCACCACAAGACCACAGCCACAGCCACAACTTACGAAGATTTTTTTTTTTTTCTTTTTGTTATGATTGTGGTTTTGGTCGCTTGGCTTGGTTTTGGTCGCTTGGCTTGATCATCGAAATTCTAATCCAAAGAATCCAAACGGCCGCACCAACAGAACGATATAAGCAGCCGTCGACACCACGCAATAATTTCTAAACTGTTATATCTAGTAAAGTAGCAAAATAAAAAAATATATATATTTTATTTGCGATCGTGAGACGATAGACCATAGCGTGAGACTCGGATGCTATGTCGGATGTATCAAAGTCGACTGTAGTCAATCGTAGTCGGTTGCTCGCTGGCGGGTCGTGCGTCGCAGTCGTCTGCTTCGTTTCTGGTTGAACCCCGCAGCGCACAGTGCCCCAGCGTGAACCGCGAGAGCAAAGACGGGTTTCGATTTGGCTCAGATTGCTTCAACCAGTGATACAGGCATGGGCAGTCTGGAAGGTGAAGTAAACCACTCGGAGAATGATTCTGTAGGTAAGTATATATGACAGTCCAGCCAATAGCAGGTGTCGAGAGAAAGGTTCAAGTGTCGACATACGCGAAGTTGCGGAGTGTAAGCAATGCCAAGGACACCTCACGCAACGCCAGCTGGGCGAACGGTGCCACATTCTACCCCCCCTCCCCCCCTTTGCCCCTCTCTTTCGCTTCCACTTTGTCCCCTCTCTTTCGCTTCCACTTTGTTGTACAACAGAACTTGGTGGTTAGTGGGGCGCTTGGAAGGAGTGTCACATTCGTCCGATATTAATTACGAGCTAGTTGCAGTTTCTCGTTCAAGCAGAAAGAAGTTAACGCACGCAGGTGTGCATCGGTATTTTATCGCCTGGTTGTGGATTCTCGTTCAAACAGAAATAGTTAACGCACGCAGTCTGCATCTCGAACTCTCCCGAACCAGCTCAATTAAAACTAGCTGCGCGATGTCAGTCGATTTTTCCCCATCAGTGGCGCCAGCAAAAGCAGACGGTGAGTCAATTTTTCCTTATCAGTAGCGCCAGCAAACGCACGAAGCAGACGATTTCCTTCTGTGCATAGTTTCGGTTTGGAGCTGTTGCAACTCAAGAATTGGTACAGGGCGTGGGAAAGGGCCGGGGAGGAGGAAGCAGACGGAACTATGGAGAGACGAGAAGGTTTCCCCCTCTCTTCTCCAGCGTTCCGTCTGCTTCCTCCTCCCCAAACTTCCTTTCCCTGGCCCTGCCTTCTTGAGCTGTAACAATTACTCTCGACCCAAGCAGGTTTCTCGTGATTAGCATAGACAAATGCTAAACTATGTTGTTGTTTTTTTCAATTTAGAACTATTTGCAGTCTGGAAATTTAGCTGGGGTGTATATATACCAGGTGTGCAGGTGACATAGCCTGGATGCAAAGCCCATGCACCATATGTAGGACCACAACAGATGCGCTGAAAGACGCAATGTAGATCACCTATTGATGACCGCCAGTTCTCTTAATACGCGTTTGTTTCAAGCTTTGCAAGTGATGGAACCGGCGAAGGAGCAAACCAGTCAACTTCCCCAGCAGTGGCAAGAGCAGCAACCTAAGCAAAAGGTAATGTCTTGATTGGAGGATCTGTAACATTGAGCGTACTGAGACAGGAATTTGCTGGAGAGGTGCGGCTAGGGTGCGATTTGCCAAATTAATTTATTTTCCTTGTCTCAACATTTAAATTATGGTATCTTCCGTAATTAACCGTGCAGCTTACCTGTATGCAGGGATGGGCAAAATACATGCAAATATGTATCAAAATACAAATACAAAATACTTTGTCAAAAATGTATTTAATTACAAATCTAATTATATTTCCAAGAAAGTATTTAAATACAAGATACAAATACAACCAAATGTATTTGGTCTCCTCCAAATACTTTTCCAAATACATTCCACAAAATTTGCGTCAGCGACTTCAGGGCACCTGCAACGGGTTTCTGGGTATCTCATTTAAATTTTGCATCGCACACTCGGGAGTTAGTGTGCGAGGCTCTAGCAACGTAATAGAAATATAATCACCAAAAAAATGTAATCAGCTTGGACGTAATAGGTGAAAAAAGTACAGAGCTTCTAGCAGCTTTTTTTGTCGATTACATTTTGGTATAGACCAACAAAGAACCGAGACGACCAAGACGCGCAGCACTTGCTAGAGAATTTTTTATTGTTGCAACTCGCACCAGTTACAAAAATCTGGACGACCCGCGCATTTAGAATGTTCCAGGCAAAAATATGGATGGAAATCAGGCTGGAACGAATCACAAGTTGTCACAGACACTTATTTAGCCAGTCTGCCTGTGAACGTCGATTTCATCACTATTCTTGCCCTGGACTAGCACCGTAATCACAAAGTCACTAAACGGGTAGATGGTCAGCTAGAACGAGAGGGACAAACACAGACAGAGAGATACAGAGACATACACACCGCTGACTATCAACTAAGACTTTACACTTCTTCTTCATCACTGTGACCCACAGATTCACACTTAAAGTAATGCCAATAAATGACCCTAAATCCTTACAGTACACTACTAAATCAAAAGACTGAATAAATAAAATTGAATTAAAATTAGAATTGAAACTAATTAATTACATTAAATTATTATTAATTTTGGTCCAACCCACAGACCACCGCCGAAACATATCCCTCCTAGTCCCTTTCACGGCGCCGTGCCACACTGCAAAAACTGCCTTTCTTTCTTGCTGACCATGATGGAGGGCATGCTCACGCAGTCGTCGCCGGTTTGCTCAATGGCTAGGGCCTCGAGGATCTCGCGCGCAAAAGCATTCCTGTGTCTGTTAATAAGACTATCAACTAAGACTTTATACTTCTTCTTCATCACTGTGACCCACAGATTCACACTTAAAGTAATGCCAATAAATGACCCTAAATCCTTACAGTACACTACTAAATCAAAAGACTGAATAAATAAAATTGAATTAAAATTAGAATTGAAACTAATTAATTACATTAAATTATTAATTACCTAAATTATGTACCAACTAGCTCAACTTCAACCTGTTATTCACTAAACGCTTGTGCTTGATTGAGAGACACTGGATTGGGTGCAGAACATAGTTTTCTTCCTGCTCTGGACAGTGACAATACATTTGAGGGATGTATTTTTGCCCACAAATTGTATTTAATTACAATTGTATTTGAAATACCCACGTTTTAGTATTTAAATACACACGTCAAATACATTACCCAATTTGTAATTAAATAAAAATGAAAAATACATAAAGTATTTGAAATACTGCCCATCCCTGCCTGTATGGATATATATATATGTACTTTCTCATCTTGGAATATGCATATTTGTTTTTCTGTAAATATTACACTTGCACTAGACCGTGGCTTGAGGCAATATTTTGTCTGTGAGCTCTTCCAGTAATATGCCCAAGCAGCATAGTTGCATGTATTGCTGTCGCCACAGGCGCTATTGGCGATGAGATGTTTTAGTGGCGCCACCTTGCGGACGTTCCTCTGTCACGGATTGGGTATTATGCGAGCAGACGACGCCCTGTGTAATAGCACGGGGTGGCTATGTTAGTTCGCACCTATGCCAATTAGAAACAGTTTATTTATTACAGAATCGTCTATTATGCTCTTGTGAGTGATCTTTCTAATGAATAACAGCACCTTGAAGTTGCTTTTGACATTAAAGAACTTTAAGATGTTCAACAACTAGCTTGAAGCTTCACATTACAGCTTGTGCGGTGTGGACCAGGGCTATTCACAGCCTCTCTGGTTCTTGTTTTTTTCGGATCTCTAGAGGCTCTTGTAGAAAAAGTTTTGCATTCACCAGAGTAAATGGCATGCTGTCATCTTAGCTGCACGCATGCACAGTTGTGTTGCAAAGTGCTGGCGATATTGACGCTTCTGTCAATTGTGACTCAACATTTGCTGATGAGCAAATGCTCGTCTGCAACTGGCACTTAGTTCCTCCCGCATTGAATATGTGGCAAAGAAGTTTGTCACATCGCGACCTCTGCTCGAAAGTTCATAACTTCTTAAATTGTCGGCCATGGGCCAGCAAATCCAGGCCATTGATTAATTTGTTCCATTCGATTTCTGCTAAGATTTGTTTATTTAAGATACAGCTTGCTGAGAAGCGCATTATGCAATATTTCTGAATCCTCAAAATTAAACATTCAAACGGTCGTAATTCATATAGCAGATACCTAATTTTTTGGGATGCATGCTAAAATGTCACCGACTTAATAGATTTAACGGACCTCGATCGCAGGGGACCTCGCACGCTTTGCGTTGACCGGGTGTGTAAGCAAGAATTTAGTTGAAACGGCGCTGGAAACCAGCTACTGCTTCTTCCTGCCAGTTATCTTGATTATGTTGTTTAAAACCCAAGACTGCTGCAGAAAAGGAAAAAAAAGTTTTAGTCGAAGGAGACACAGAAGGGAACGTCTCAAACTCGGCTAACTGGTTTATTTCTAAAGCATCCTATGTATACCCACAGAGCCACTTGCAACCACCTTCTATGCAGAGATCTTCTTTGTTTAAAGCACTTTTAAATACAAAGAACGTACACAACAGACCAAACGGCAGAACCCACAATACCATCATTGTAAGCACCTTCTACGCAGACATCTCCTTTGTTGAAAGCATTTTCAAAAACAGATATCATAACACTTACAAGAGACCACGCTGTGAAACCCACAATGCCCTTATCCTTATCATCAACCCTATAATCAAGGACGATGAGAGAGGGTTCTGGGACCTACATCAGGGGGCTTCAGAAACATGGCGAATGCTGCTCTTTGTACCTCAACCCGGGTAAAGCTTCCAAAATATTAACACTGCTTCTTTCTCATTCTCTCTCTCTCAAAAAAAAAAAGGAAACTCTAAGGTGTTGTTTACAACCTGAGGAACTTTTTGCCGTGGTTTCCAAGTTGCACCGAGGCTTATAGCTTTTGCAGTTTCCGGTAGACTTTATCCTATGTTGTTTCTTTTACGGCTCTCTTTATATCATTCCGCTTTATGTAGAATTTCCGTCTCTGACCAGTGTACGTATAATTGTTACATTCCTTAATGTGATTTGCAATTTCCGAGTTCGACGCATTTGTGCTTACATTTCTGTTGTGTGTTTGTTTGTTTACTGTATGTTTACTGGTTTGCGAAATTCAACAAGGAATCAACTTGTAACTAATAGGAGGCCAGCACTCACAGAATACAGTGGAATCAATAGGATACACGGAGTCACTTTCACTGATGTGCTTACACATTTGAGAGGTTCCTGAATTTCGCTTTCCTATTTTCAATTTGATGAGACATCCCTTTCTCAGTTTTATTTTGTCCGAATCATAATAAAAAAATGAACCCTATTTGCCGTGGTGGATGTTGTAGTGGGATAAAGCACTAGATATTCTATTTTCATCCTCCAGCTTTTGTGCTAGAGTAGAAAATAGCACGCACACCACGATTTGAGCTCAATTCGACACCTCAGCGCCAAAATTGTTTGTTAGCACGACTACGCGTGCCACGTTTTCAAGCTTTGACAAAATGTCCTACAACAAATATCACTTTTCACCAAATAAGCACCGTGCGTGAAACTGGCTTTTCCGCGCGTTACCCAAACAGCGCATGAACTGAGCTGAGGAATCAAGGATCTGTGGGCGGTCTGTGCTACCCACAAAGTCACAAACAATGATGATGATAGCTAGAGAAGCACCCCCTATAATTTGAGCACGCCGTCAACACGCATAGGAGTTGAGGGAGAGGAGATGAAAGTGCACGGAGACGTCGGAGCACCGAGCTTTAGTTGGAGTGATTTGCGAATAGACTCAAAGCCCACTGCATTGCTCTCCAGCTTGACAGTCTTGACAGTCCACGGGGGCTTCCGCAGCTAGGAGTTGGGTCACTGCGATGACAGCGATCCGCTCGCATTCACTCGTGCTTCTTATTGTTGACCTCTAGCACAAACTGCTGCCAGGGTCGCTGCATTCGACAGCATGACACTTCAGCGCTTAGGCTTCTGTGACACCATTTGTTGCCACTTTGGGAGACTGGACGCTAAACACACCAGTCGGAGGCACATTTCAGACACTGTAACACCGCGGTGTCGGTGCTGCAGGTGTTCTGGGATCCCGTGCATGGCCAGATCTCTCTACACCCGGTGTCGGTGGCCGTCGTAGACACTCCGGAGTTCCAGAGGCTCCGGGACATCCGGCAGGTGGGGGTGGTTCACTACCTCTACCACGGGGCCACCCACACCCGCTTCGAGCACAGCATGGGGTGAGTGGTTGACGCGTAGACCAGATAAAAATGACCCTTTCTAAAGTTTCGTGCTACCTATTGGCTCATAATAGCTGCTCCCCCTTCAGTAAACTAGTGGCAGTCATGAAGATGTATTTCTTGGGACACCGTCACTAGGGATGCCGTGAGCCGCCTCCTGAAGTTTGAGTTCGAAAGGTTCTAAATTTTTGAACCTCGCTGAGGTTCGAATTTCAAAAGTTTGCAACTTTAGAACCTTACTAAGATTCGAATTGAAATAACTTGAAAATGTAAAGGTTTCTAAAAGTTTGAGTTCAAAGATTTCAAATTTTCTGACACATTGTTCAAAATATTCAAACATATGAATTGCAAGGGTCCCTGCCATCAAGGACAATTGAGGGAGGAATGTGTCAGTGCCCCTTGAGCTGCACTCCACCTCAAGGAGGAAGCGTTCCTACGAGAAGCCACGGTGTCCGAGCAAGGATAAAAGCAAGAATGCGCAACCATTTCATCCCAAAAAAGCAGAAAATAAAAAGTGGCTTAAAGAAAAAGAAATTACTATGAATTACGAATAAAAAAAGAAAAAGTAAGTATCAATTACTCTACAAGAGAAAAAGAAAAAGAGGACCATTAAACATTTTTAAGTCCAGCAGTGTGAACAGTGTTTTTAGTGTGTGGTGTAATCGTTGTTCAGCTGGCCCATTGAAAGTTTGCGGCACCCCTAGTTCCTAGATGTCTCATTGTTTGGAGACTTTTCATTCACGTCTTGAGACTGATTCACCAGAAGTGTACTCTCTGTGCTAGGGGGACGCCATTTGGATCGAGCAAGGATACTGTGGTCACTGACAAGGTGGGAATGGCAGAGCGAAGCTTCAGTTGTCCCGCCCCCAGTGCAAGCTCTTCGACAACGCTCTTTGACACTGCGGAAAGCAGGGAGCACATGCTGGAGGCTGGGCGTTTGAGCGATGCGCCCTGCGGTTCTCATTCTTTCGGTGACCATAGCTGCACTCCTCATCTCCCTCTCTCTGAGGCTTTCCTCGAACGGCGACCCTGTGCCCGCTCAATAAACGTCCATTGCCCAATGAAAATTTAAGTCTCCGAGCGACCACGTCTGTTTCTTCGTCTTCTGCTGGGGCGCTGCACATGAGCAGACTCGTACGGTGCTGATTTCAAGTAACCAAAATTACTTGTAATCAAGTAATTTTAACACGGAATGTGTTATATGGCTGGTGCCTAACCATATCCGGTTAGGTGCCAGCAATGGAAATCGACAGGCTGACTATTAGCCAAACGCTGATGCAGCACTCATCTCCTCTCCGATTGGACACCGGTGCCAGACGAACCTCGTCCTCGAGTGCATCCGTGTCACCCCCTGGGGGGTAAAACATTGCGTGTTCAGACATGCAGCAGCGGTCTGCATGCTCTGTCAAACAAGTGCACTCCAGGCTTCCCCAGAGAAAGAGAGCGAGAGAGAGTGACAGAAAATTGGAGAAAGAAAAGCCTACACTAACTTAGATGTGCCCCCTTGCCAGATTGTTGAGATCTTGCTGCGAGTTGATGCCAGAGGTCTGCTTGGAGCTGTAGAGAGTCTAGATTGAACAGAGGGTTTATCATTTGCAATTTAATGGCGGGCACCTCCTGCGTAAGTGGGCATGCGCCGTGTAATTGCATGGTGAGTAGGACAGCAGCAGTCGGAAAAGAGGAGAGGCTTGCAGACAATCAACGCTTTTGTCAGTTTCTCGCAGCTCATAACGCAAACACTGCTCATAATTCACGTGACCCCAATCGAGTAGTTGGAAACTTCGTAACCTCTGACCGCTGCTGCCACATTCAAGTTATGTTTTCAGTACACTCTGTCTACTGTGTCTCAAACTGCAGCAGGCTCTGAGAACGTCGCATTCACATTGTTACCGCAGAAGATGGCACCCTTAAGTAAAATAGCAATGGAGTACTCGTGCACTTGCCACACATAGCACAGGTCCGCGAAGCCAGCCACGCTCACGGAGCCTTCAAAGTGTGCTCCCAGGTCCTTAACGAAGCAGGTGACAGAGCTGCGATTTTGTGGCGGCATTGAATATCTTTTAAAGTGCCATGTGCGGGGGTGCGCAAGCCAATCCTAGGCCATGTACTCCTGCCGGCCTTTCGCACCACGTCCACTTTGACACGTCACATTTTGTGTTGCTATCTGCCTTTGCCATGCTAGTACTTTTTTTAAGTAATTTTGTAATCTTTTGAACACTTTTATTACTAAGTAATTGTAAGGGTAATCTGATTACCTTTTGGAAGTGCTAAAGTTATACTTGTAACCATTACTATTTTTCCCTCCCGTTTCTAATGGCACCCTCCTTGTTTCCACAAGTACTCTACTAAATGATATTCTCGAACCGAGTCTTTAACAGGAGCCTTTGTTTAGCTAAATTTGTGAACTAAAAAGATAAGTTGTTTACAATTCAGTGATTCTGATCTAATAACAGAGAGTACGAAAAACCAATTATTAAACCGGCAAAAAAAATTTGTCATTTTGAAAATTTCGAATACAGTTGAACCTCGATTTAACGAAACACTATTTTACGAATTTCCTGATTTAACAAAAAAATTCGGATTCTTCGCGCAGCCTATGCGCAATGTCTCTCTTCCTAGATTTTACGAAGTTCCAGATTTAACTAAGTAATTAGCAGGTCCCGGTGACTTCATTAAATTGAGGTTCAACTGTAATTTGAAAAGTGACAGTTACTTTTCGAAGTAATTGAGGAATCTAATTAAATACTATTTAACCGAGAGTAATTGTAATAGATTTCTTTTTTCGAGTAACGTCCCAGCTAAAAATTTCCATTAAATCCAATTGGAATCCCAATAGGTTTTAACTGGAACCAATTGGTTTTAGTAGGTTCTAACTGCAAGCACACTGGCCAATGGGTCTTGCCAATTGGAATTATTTTTCAAGTTGGAACCTGAATGGGTTCCAAATGGTTCCCATTGGTTTGTGTTGGTTCCCATTGGCAGTGACCAAGTGGTTGTCCAAAAACCGAGTTGGTACCAATAAGAAAATTCCAATTGGAACTTAAAGGGATGCTGAACCGAAATTTTTGGGGGAAATTCTTGGTCGCAATGGCATACATAGCATGTCCTTTACTTTTAAATGACGTTGTTTGGAGCGAGAAGGCGTATAAAATTGAATAAACACGAAAAATACAATTTTACGCGACCCCTGGTGAGCGTCGTGGAAAGCTCGCTTCGTGACGTGCGCATTCTCATTCGCCTCAAAAGACAGACGGAGCCAAGCCAAGCCAGGCGCTAAGCCGCCGAGCGAAGAATCAAGGCGAGCACCAACGAACGAGGAGAATGCGCGGAGGCACCAGGGGCGCTGGGGGCGCCGAGAATGCGCACGTCAGTTCCGCTACGCCTGCTCTCAGAAGGACTCGCTCGCGCCGGCGGCTTCCGGCTGAGGATTCGCTCTTAATCTTCAAAGAAATACAATAATTCGGGCCCCATCCGTCTGATTGAATATCGTTTTTAGGTACAGTACCATCCCGTGAAGCCCGCTCGGGCAATAATTATGAGATTTCAAATATCGGTTCAGCATCCCTTTAATGGGAGTTTTCAACTGGGGTGACTGCATTCAATTTGTCCATCGAAACAGAACGGCTTACCTGGCACAAAGGCTTGGCCTGCACCTGCGTGAGGCACAGCCGGAGCTGCGGGTGACTGACAGGGAGTTGCTCTGTCTGGAACTGGCCGGACTGTGCCACGACCTGGGACACGGCCCCTTCTCTCACCTCTGGGAGCGCTTCTACATCCTGGGGGCTCGTCAGAGGGGTGTGTCTCCGGTCTGGACGGTACGTAGGCGCTCCCACACCCTAGCTCCTTGCCCTTGGCGGGACTCTCGCAGTCGCTTCGGAAACGGATAAAGTAGCACCCCAAATAAACAGTGCGAAAATGTAGACAGAAAGAAGAAGTGTGGAATCATCCGAAGATTACACTCGAGTAGCAACACCAGACACACAAACAAAACCTGGCCATTGCATCTGTGTGGGGATTGTAAACCACTCTTTGTTTGTGTGCACAGTTTTGTCTTAATCAGTTGTGAGTCGGAGCTTAGATGCATGCTGCCTGCAGGATGCATCTGAAGACTGTATTACACATTTGCGCTCGAGCGTGATAGACCGTGTTGCAACTGCTAAAACCGCTTGCTATGTGAGAGCTATCCTGCACCACCTATCGGGTGTCTCTTAAACTATTCCAGTCTGCACGCAACCAAATGAAAGGTTTTGCAATACATTTTTAAAATCAAAGTTCTGTGCAATATTGATAAAAAAGGGTTGCTTAATTATGTAGTAGCATTATTTCTAGCCAATGGCAAAAGAACAATGATGAATATATGCAGATGATAAATGTTGCAGGGCTACTGGATAGATGGTGCCAGTGTGTCATCTCATCGTAAGTGGTTGCAGTGCAGTTTTTTTCAATCTAATGCAAATGTGTGAACCGCTTAAGCACCGACCCACAACTGATGCAAGAGGCCTTCACTGCAACTCGCCAATGAACCGTTGCTTTCGCGTGCTGTCGCGCAGCATGAGGAGACTTCCTGCCGGCTCCTGGGGCGCATCTTTAAGAGGCTAGAGCCAACCCTGTCCACGTGGGAGCAGCGCTGGGCCCAGGGACTCACAAGGGACGACCTTGCCCTGATCCAGGCCCTTATTCTGGGAGACAAGGTGCGTGTGCATTCCGCTTCAAATTTTGGGGGGTTCCCATTGGGATCCTGCCGAGTAAGCGCACTTTGTATTTCCTCATCGAAAGGTGCGAGCTGAAGATGTCACATTTTTTTATGTCTGACATGTCACGTGCCTAGCTCCGACGGAGTATCGACGCGGGCCTAATCTTTTACGGGGAATACAATGGGACCTAGCCGACCAAAAAGATATTTCCCAACTCAAAATCGGGTTTTCCTTTGCATGAAAGCCACTTGTCTCAATGGCGCTTGAGGTGTCAAAGTGTGATGCACGTGTACCCTGACGCCCACTTTGGCGCATATCAGTAACAGCCACGTGGCATGATCCTTTGCGCCTTTCAGGGAGCTGCAAATCCGGCCAGGCACTTCCTCTTCCAGGTAAGCCCGTTTTCTCTTCATCTCCGACGGGCAGAGTGTCAAATGATTTGATCAGGAGATCCAAGCCCTGGACGAACCTTATAGTAATAACTCACAATACACAGCGTCGATGCTTAGACATTATTATTTTAAATTTCTGCGTTTGTCTACATAATTTTGAGAAATAAATAACTCAAATAAGCTACGATCTGGAACAGTGGTTCTTAAATGGGGGTCCGTGGACCCTTTGGGGTAGCCGAAGACTTCCTTAGGGTCCCCGGAGCCCTCAGCCGAGCAATAAAATATTTTTTTAATTGGTGCCGACCATTTTACATGTGCACCGCTTGAGTAGGGTTCATTAGTCTATGTTTCAGAGCTTCACAGTTGGCTCGCATGCATTTAGTCTTCTTTATCTACCTTTTTGTCATCGTAATCGTCAACTACCCTCCCAAGCCCCATTGGATGGGGTCCCCCATCACTTCTGCCGATTCAGAAGGCACCCCCAAGACATCAGTGCTTAGGACCACTGCTCTAGACGTACAACTCAGTCACACTTGTAATATCTTGTGTAACCTTGGAGGAATGTTCGAGGGTGTTTAAAAAATCATCCGCACTCCGGTTATTTTTAAACTTTTGTCGGTCGCATTGTGTTTTTAGCACTTTTTGTATGAGGTCACTGTCCTAGCCACTGCTGTCCACTTTTGAACGTGTCATGCCAGCCCAGCTGTAACTGCGGCACAAAAAACAATGGCTGCGCCACTTGTGATTTACGCGATAGAAGAGCAGCAATGCATGCAGCCATTTCTTTTCTGCAGTCTGAGGGTGTATCTCTGTTGCCAATACTTTGCGCACATTATGGAGAATGTGTTTTCTCGCAAGGAGGTATCTTTGAATGGACTCCGATGTTCAAAAAAGAACGCACAAACTTCAGTCTTGAAGGAGGAGTCAGATCTATCCGCATCTGATGACAGCATTTGGCATGCACGTGAACTGACTCTGTCAGACAGACGAGCGAGGCTCTGCCGGTGCTATAATGCACGACAGACTTTGGTTTCGAAAAGTTTGTGCGAGATGGGTGCCAAAACGTTTGTGCGGATCATAGTTTAGTCATATCCTCGTAGTAACACATACGGAACTCGTAATGGATTGCTCTAACCCTAACACTTTTATTATGCATGATGATTGAAACCTGAGACTGTGGTTTGAAAAACGGATATTGGTGAAGTAGGAAGAAAAAGGGACAGGCAACGTCTTATATACACCTCATGAGGTGTATAAGGCTACGCCTTATATACACCTCCCCCGAACGTCGCCACCACCTCAACGGTTGATCACCGAACTACAAGCAATACACCAGAATCACAATGCACCATACCGCAAACAATACATAAAAAAAAAAGAGAAGCGTGCCTTATTGTTTCCATTCTCACCCAGTGACAAGGGGGTTCACTACAAACAGAAACACAAGGTCGTCACCACCGCACCCGGAAGGACTTCGATGCAGACAGTGAAACAGAAGCACAGGGAAACACACAATGACTGTTTCTAACCTAGCCCCCCCTCCTTTCCCCTGAACTGAACCATGAATCACACAGTCGCCAACAATGCCCCCCATTATGATCCCAAACCCAACAAAGTAAACAACTCTGCGAAGCAATCCCCTCCCCTCCTAAGTTCACCCCACACTAAATCTTAGAAACTTCTTTGACTCACTTCCAAGTTGCAGTGACGCTTGGCTAATGCAATTTCCCGATGTTTTTATAATGAACAGTTTCTCACACAGCACGTTCCATCTCCTCACGCTCTTTGTGTACGATTTCTGTCTCTGACCAGTTCACTGTACATTCATTGCATTCCCGGAGATGCCTCGCTAGTTCAGAGTTTGAAGTGTTAATACGCACATTCCGTTTATGTTCTGTCAACCTATCGTTAATGCACCTTGCAGTTTGACTAACATATTTAAAGCCACATTCCAAGGGAATTTCGCACACTACTCCACTCACACATGAAACAGATCTGTCATGATGCATTTTTTTACATTCTTTCTGTCCTGCTTCAAAAGGAGTCAGTTTAGCTAATTTGAAATCACATCCCAGCTGAAAATTCCAATTAGATCCAATTGGAATTCTAACTGGTTTTAATTGGAACCAATTGGTTTTAGTAGGTTCCAATTGGAAGCACACTAACCAATGGGTCTCACCAATTGAAAAAATTTTCCAGTTGGAATTTTAATGGGTTCCAATTGGTTCCCATTGCAGTGACCAATTGGTTGTCCCAAAACCTAGCTGGTACCAATTGGAAATTCCAATTGGAATCTAATGGGAGCTTTCAACTGGGATGTTTCTCGGCACACGCCTTCAAGTTATGTGAACTGGCGTGAAAGTACGGGATGGCAGCCTGTCGGTTCTGGACACTTGGCTTATCTTGCTTATCTTTGATCTGCAGATCAAGCTGCCGTTTCGGCCTCTTGATAGCCGGCCTTCTTTAGTCTTCCTGATTGCCTTTTTAAAGACTGCTCCATGTAATGCGTGCATGACCTTTGTAGAGCGTTCTGAGTCAGAGACTTGACTACCCCTCCCTTTACAATTTTAGAATGACAACTCTGCTTTGATAGGACGGGTTTTGGTGCCTGTTTTTCATATTCCCAACACAACTCACTGCCCACATGAATGCGTAAATCCAAAAATTAAATGACATTCTCCTCCGGCTTTTCTACAGTGAAACGCAGCTCTGGGGCCGCTGAACTTATTACATCTTGTAGGGAATCCGAAAGGTTGTCTCGAAAAGTGCACACAATTATGTCTTCTACTTATCTTCGAACAAAGCTTACATCTGGGGGCAACTCTCTCATCTTCTCAACCACAACTCTGTCTAAGGTGTTGATATAAAACTTGCCCAAAAGCGGCATGACCGACGAGCCTATACATACACCCTCCTGCTGTACGTACATCCATTCATCATACTCAATAATTGTTGACTGCAAGTATCGGTTCAGAACTATGAGAAAACCATCTACCGACACTCCTGACTCTGACTGAAATTTCGCTAAATTTAGCTTTAACAGTTCCTTCACTGCCGTCGTCAGTCTTTCCTTTTCAAGAGAATAATATAGATCCTTTATGTCCATTGAGAAAACTGAACAATTTCTACCGCGATTGCTATTCATGACATCGATAAGCTTTCCTGAATTTCTTAAGGATAGAGAATGATCGAAAAAGATTAGCCCTAACCCACGTTGGAGAAAAAAAGATACAATCTTCTGCCAAGTGCCAATTTCATTTACAACAACTCGGAGAGGCATGCCAACCTTGTGGTCTTTTAAAAAGAATTTCAAACATAGAGTCGTAATTAGGCCATGATGCTCTTCACTACACTTTCCTTTTCCTCATCTTTTAGTATGTTACAAATGTCTCTCCTCAACTTTCCTAAATTTTCTTTCCATTCCCTGAACAATGAACCCAAAGCATCGTCTGTCTTTCTCCGGAATACCTCCTCCAAGATGACAGCAAACCTGCCGGACTTGTGTGTTTGGAGGAGTTTCAAAGACTTCAATTCCAGCTCCTTCTTCACCATGTTTACATCTTTGAAATTCCTCCTCTCCGACGCGTCCCCCATAACCTTTCCTAATCTCCCTATGCGTCCCCTATAACTAGGGTTCGGAGTTTTCGGTTTAAACCGATAAACACCGATAAAAGTACGCCGAATCCATTTTCGAAAATTCGGTTTTAACCGAAAAAGGTCAGTTTGTAGGTTCGGCGTTTTCGGTTTAAACCGATAAAAGTACGTCTAATCCGTTTTCTAGAATTCGGTATTAACCGAAAAAGTTGTTTTTTAGGGCCGCGCTGAGGTGGTTGGGGAGGGAGAGAGAGAGAGAGCTTTGCGAGGTTCGACATTATGTGACATCTTCGTGATTGCCCTCTTCCAAGGTTCAACATGCAACAAAAGAGGTCTTGGATTGGCCTTCGTCGGACATCTGTGTCTTTTCTGTGATCGGGCTTAGTGTGTCAAATTTCCGGTCCCGAAAAAAAAAAAAGATTCGTATGTGGGCTAGTATAAGGTTTTCCGCTTCATGCACTTCAAAGGACATCTAGGAAAGCCGTCAATACCTTTCTTAACACGCTCTCTCGAACTTCCCTGTTGTTCAAAACATAAACAGGATGGATTTTTTTTTTTTTTTTTGACATTCCGCTGGTTTTTGTACGATCACCTCCGACGGTCACGTCGTCAGAATGGAAAGGAAGAATAAGCGCACTGAAGATTATGCCCGTGAATTCCGGGATATTGAGGTGTGTCCTGACGGAAGTTGTAGCGAGGACTACGTATGTGTGTGTCGTTACTCTTTGAGTGATTGCAAATATCGCAGCTACAAGGGCCGATGCTGCTTCTTTTATATTCACCGAAAGAAACCGGTAAACTTTTTTGGGAATAAATATACGCCGAAAAAAACCGAAAATTGAATTTTAAAATAAACACCGAAAAAAGTATGCCGAATTTCGAAAAAATAAAAACCGAAAACGCGGAACCCTATCTATAACCCCGTATGCATCCTCCATAACCTTTCTAATCTCCCTACAGTTTGATCGACAAATGAAATTCTTTCATAGTGATTCACATACCGTGCAACGGTCTGGACCGCGGAAGACACATCCAGTCTGGAAGGCTTTACATTCATACAAAACTTGGGACCTTTTTCCAGTATTGCTTCGGTTCTCTCTGAAATCGGTTCTTTACAATGGTTCATTACACCTGGTTGGTACTCAGACCCAACCTGGCCATACATCCAAACATCGGGCACAGTTACGTTTCATAGTTTCATCATCTTGATCGAGCTCAAAACATGTAATCTTTTCACATACCTAATCTGGTTGTACTGCACCTTCTTGACATTGTCCCAGTGTCGATATTCCTTACCTGTCCTGAATTCCTTGCCCAGGAGGATGTCCCACAGTCTGTGTGTTTCCCTGTGCTTCTGTTTCACTGTCCGCATCGAAGTCCTTCCGGGTGCGGTGGTGATGTGTTTCTGTCTGTATCGGACCCCCCTTTTACTGGGTGAAAATAAAAAACAATAAGGCACGCTTCTTTTTTTTAGAGCGCAGCTCTTAGGGGCCCGTTCCCGGCTTGAGCGGCGTCGCCGTCGGCGTCGGCGTAACCAAGGTCATCCCAAGGTCACGTGATCCCTCCCAAGGTCATCTCAAGGTCACGTGACCCCCTGAAGGTCACGTGACCCCTCGAGGTCACGTGACCCCTTCCAAGGTCATCTCAAGGTCACGTGACCCCAAGATGACCCCACGTGACCCTTTGAAGGTCACGTGACCCCCAAGTCACGTGACCCCTCTGAGGTCACGTGACCCCCGAGGTCACGTGGTCGCCTCCCCAAGGTCACGTGACCCCCGAGGTCACGTGACCTTGGGGGTCACGTGACCTCGGGGAGGCGCGTGACCCCCAGGTCACGTGACCCCTCTGAGGTCACGTGACCCCTCTGAGGTCACGTGACCCCCCGAGGTCCCGTGACCCCTCCAGGTCACGTGACCCCAAGGTCACGTGGGGGTCACCTTTGGGGTCACGTGGCCTTGAGGTCACCCCCAGGTCACGCCTCCCCGAGGTCACGTGACCCCCTCCCCGAAGTCACGTGACACCCCCCCCCCCGGAGCATATTAAAGAATGAGGGGAGGAGGAGGAGAAGGGGGAGGGCTCTACCCTCCCCTCAGTACCCTTCACTCCTCCTCCTCAAGAGCTGCGCTCCAATTCGGCGTTACAGGGATTTGTAAACGGCTTTCACTTTTTTTTTATGTATTATTTGCGGTTTGGTGTATTACGATTCTGGTGTATTGTTTGTAGTTCGGTGATCAACAGTTGTGGTGGTGGCGACGTTCAGGGGAGGTGTATATAAGGCATAAAGGCAATAAAGGTTTTAGCCGAGTTTGAGACGTTGTCTGTCCCTTTTTCTTCCTACCTCACAAGTTTCCGTTTTTCAAACCCCAGTCTCAGGTTTCATTCATCATGTATAACTTACACCAGCTTGCCTGCACTTGAACCGTTTTTTTCACTTTTATTTAGTTATTTATACTTTACCGCTCCAGGAAGAGAATGCACGAGTTATTTGACTTGATTTTAAGCTTGGCTCACAAAGTACCTACAAAAAGTGGGTGTTATTATTATCTGTTGCAGCTTTAGAAACGCAGGACACGCGTCTCCCTCAAAGCTCTCTGCTTGCTATGATTGGTGGTTGGCCCCTCTCCACTCGTCTCCTCTCCAGTATTTGCTCCGCTAAACCGGAAAGTGTCAAGGACGTAAAAGAAGCTTTTCCCCCTTTTCTAAACCCACAACAGTCTGTGAAGTTACCCCTTTGACTGGCGATGGCAGAATTTGGGTGCAGTTGCGGGACCTGGAAAGTTTGAAATATTCAATTCCGAATGCAGCTATTGGAAGCCGCAAAACCTCACCGGTGATTTCGAGCGGCAAGAATTTTAAGGTTTCCTGTATCCGCGACCCAAATCTTTTGTTGGTGCTGAACTTCACTCCCCAGCCGACTGCGCCAACAACAAACTCGGATATTTTGTGCTTCTGGTTAGTTCAAACGAATTTCGAATTTTAGTTGCCCCACTATGTTTTTAATGTATTCATAAGCCGCCTAATTCGAACGGCGTTTTTGTGCAATTCATATTTTTTGTTCTCGCTGCCCTGTTGAGTGTGCTTCTTTCCAAGCACCAATGCACTGCAGGGAGGCAACGCCTGCGGATCTTGCTTCTGCGAGTGTTGCGCACTTGTGTGGGGTGAGAAGTGCAGTCAACAGGGCTCAAGCAGGACACTATGAGTCATGAAAACGGGCACTACACGGATGTTTTCAGAGCAACTCGCTCGGACACTGTGACGTGGTGGAATGGCATAGGTCCATGTCACAGTGTCCGCGCAAATGCTATGAAAATTGCTGCGTGGTGCCCGTTTTCATTGCTCATGTGTCCCCACTGCTTAATAGCCCAGATTTGACAAATTCTTGGCCTGATGAACAAACTTAATTATAATTATGTTTTGAAGTGTCATGTGCTCTCTAAACAGTCCACGATAAACAAAAATTTTTTAGGGGTAAATAAACATGTCATACATTTCACGAATGTTTAAAGTGTGGCATACCTGTTCATGATCAGCAGGCTTATATAGAGGAAACCATTGAACAGCTTTGTATGTGTAGCCATTCATATGGCAGATCATCAGCTTATTTTGCATCCTATTTAGATGATTTTCTGATAATTCAAACTTCTGTTAATTCAAACCAAATTTGTGGCTTCATGGAGTTTGGATTAATGAGAGTCTACTCTGTACAGTATGTTGTGCCTTCATGTTAATCCTACTATTTTAGCGGTCAAAGATATACAAACTTTCACCTTAAAGGGAAGCTGAAGATGTTCTTATAGAAAAGAGTTAAAAGTGAATTCTACCGTATTTTTGTCCCGTGAACTTAAATATCATGAGTATTTGACCAGAAACGTATCTATAGACGCAAGAAAAACAGAAAAACCAACTGCTGGGTGTCATGTCATACCCAGAGGTTTCAGCTGCCTTGCACATGCCGCTTGTGAGGGAATGCATGCAGCACTTTTGACTGCTTGAGTTAGGCTTGCAGAAAGCGCGGAAATGTTAAGGTCTCCATGTAATACGTCATGATTACCCCCTACCGCCAAACGCAACGGGAAGTAGGGGCTTGAGTGCTACTTCGATAGCACTATTGTGGCTACTACTTGGCACATCAATCTAACTTGTAATCTTGATACTCATAATCGTGAAAGCCAAGTAAACACAATTTAAATGTTTTTTTTCTCAAATACAAACCTGCTTTAGTTTCTCTTTAAGTTGGGGTGTTTAACTCGTGCTATGAGGCGACTGGAACAAGCGGCTCCAAAACGAAGTGTCATCTTTCTGTACATTGGCTAAACCAGTCGAGCGCAATGAATGTCCTGTGTCGCTTTTAGTATGTGTTTGAGCCTTCGACCGCACTCCGAATTTTGACGAAACAAATGACAGATTACGGTATTCAAGAAAGAGCTTCCCAGAGGCCTCGAGCAGCAGTACTAGTCGCCTCGAATGCGGTACAAAAAGAGCAATGGTTCCGGTGTCGCAGGTGGTGAACAACAAGGAGTCTAACCTGGACGTGGACAAGTGGGACTACTACCTGCGTGACTGCCACGCCATAGGCCTGTCGTGCGGCTTTCAGTTCGAGAGGCTCATCGGCAGCGCACGGGTCATCGCCGGCCGGGACGGTGCCACCCACATCTGCTTCCGAGACAAGGTGCGACGACGCTCTTCTCCCTCTAGTTACGGTGCCTGGAATGCATCTCCAACTGACGCGTTAACTACTGCGTCCTAAAATGTGGTCCCTCGATTTCCGCCCGATTACGTTGTAGAAGTGTCACGCTGTCGCCGATCGCGGTTTCGGTGCTGTCGCAGCAGCGGTGGTGGATGTGGCAGATGCCGGTTACGCTGGAGCTCGCTCTCCAGCTCATCAGTCCACGGAAGCTCTGGCGGCCGGGAGTTTGAACGGCACCACGAGAGCGACACTCGCGTTTGCTCGTGCTTTTTTTTCCGGAACTTCTACACCAAGCCACCAAGATCAAGACATCCGACAGCGTGACACTTTGGCTTTTGGGATGTATTTGTTGCTATGCAGAGCGCGATTTCGTCTGCTTCTTTTGCAGGGGTTGTGGTGACGTCAGAACACCGAGCGCTGAATGGCTCTGATTGAAGAATAGTGAGTAGACCTCAAAGCAAGCTGCCTTGAGGTTTACCCACTATTCTTCAATTAGAGCCATTCAGAGCTCAGCGTTCTGACATCACCACAACCCCTGCAAAATAGGCAGACAAACTTGCACTCCTTACATTGGGACCACCTTCGATGCATCTGGGCAGAATGGGACGCTAAACGCACCCGTTTGAGACGGGTTCCGCCCCATACTCTAGCTGTTGCAGACTGCGTAGCCGGCCGTAGCGAGAGTTGTACACCGAGGAATCACCACTCGAGCATTTGCTCGGTACGTGTGTGCCTTCGGATAAATCCAAGAAACGTGCACAGGTAAAATGTTAGTCAGTTTCGACTTTAATAAATTAAGCCCAGATAGGTGAGATTGTGACAATAGATTTCGGCGTTTCAAATTAGTCTTGGTAGAGTGTCGGGTTAAAGCTGTCCAAACGGGACACTTCAGAAATTGTGAGGTGACAACGCCGTCAAAAGTCGTGGAAGTTGAAACGGTTGAAGTCCGGCAGTCGGATGTCTGTTTGAACACCACCAAGCAAACATCACGGCTTTTCTCTGCTTTCTGGTGACCTCGGTACTCGTCAGACTTGTTGTCACATGCCATCTGCCTATGCTGTCAATCTGTTCTGCCTGGTCCTCGTATTCTTGACCGTGACTCCAGGATAAGGGTTTTGCACTTTGGAGTTTGAAAACCTACCCGCGCCCAGTGTCGCTCTACCATGTGTTATCATGTGATACAACCGCTGGTGTAACTCAGATCTATTTGGATAAGATTTCAAACACAGCCCTTTCGTTTTCCGTTTTCGGGAAGCAAAGGCCTTGAGCGTTTGACCGGCAGCCAATAAAGCGTGTGAGGGGCTGTCCGGGCACATGTGATGAGCACGCTCAAAGCTTCCGTGATCGGACACAAGCGAACTTTGACGGAGGAAACTTCCTCCCCGGCAAAAATACCGGACGGAAGCAGACCGCTACACGTCTTATGTCGGAGTTGTGTCGCCTCACGATTTCTAAAGTGTCCTGTTTGGACAGACTTTTAGCGGCCCTGAGGAGAGGCCAAGGCCACCACAGTCTCATTTTTCTAATTCCTTTGAGTGTGTCGTCGGCATCTGTTCGGGACAACAGTTAGATGTTATACTGCATTTCTGGGTCATGACGGAAGCTGATCAATGGCTATGACAGTGTTAGCCACTATTCCGGTTTTGAGCGCACATTTTGCAATTAGGGCCTCTGACACGAACATAGGAGACAATCTGTTTACGAAAGTGGATCTCATAACCCATAGACTTTACATTTTTTATAAATTTTGCTCATATTTAAAATGGCTTGCTGTAGTTTTATATGTGTTCTCGTATAAATCTTAGGAAAGCACAGTGATCTAGGAATGTGACAAACTTATAGCCTAATAAAAACTAAAATTCACCAGGGAAAAAAAAACAGAAATCTCCTGTAAACACCATATTTGAAATAAAAAACAATATACTCTGAAAAATATTCTCCAAATTTTATCAGAAAAAAACATTTGAAAAACAGTAACCCTAATGAATGGCATCTGGTCTAGACTACTAGCCCTACATTGGAAATACACAAAGCATTTGGCAATGCATACTAGTGTATTTTGCAATTGAAAAAAATGATATAAAGTTGTTTCTTTTTATGGGCGGCCTGTAGTTGCAAAGGTCAAGCTTCTCACTAAATTTGTTTGTCGTTCCTCTTTGTTTTGCCAAAATGTCGACTGAAGGCCAGCCTTCATGCAGGAGCTGAACACAGTGTATGACATGTTTCGCACTCGGAGCCTCCTGCACAGCAACGTCTACCAGCACCGCCTGGTCAAGGTCTACGACACCATGCGAGTAGTCTTTACAGTTTACATTGCTTTCGGGCTGCCACCGTATGGCTGCGAATACTGATCCCAGCAGAAGAGCGTGGCAGGGAGGCGCAGCCATTCACGAAGCAACTACGTCGTCATAGCAGTATAGCCTATCTTCCACTCGGATGCATGTGCTTTGTTCGTCTTGTTGCGGTTAAAGTTGGATCTAAGCTTTGAACCTCTGTGTAGTTATTAATGTCAGCCTTTTATCAGGGAAAGTCTATGCCGTATGTATCACTATCTACACCAGGGGTCTCCAAACTTTTTGACCGAGGAGCAGTCTATGAGGAAAAAATTGCGACAGGGCTGCTGCTGCCATCTGTCAGCTTTTGCTCTGATCGGACGCATCTCATTTGTGGAGGGACATGTGCAGATGGGAAAAAGCTGTTTTAGGGGCGAAGCTCCTTAGGGTCTAGCCTTGTCCGTCCGGCGTCCGTGCTCACATCGATCTTGCTGGTGCTGGTGCTCGTGCTCGTAAGCTCACGTGCTCGTGTAAAGCAAAAAAAAAAAAAGTTTGCGCAGTCGAACCTGTGCGGGGAGACCCCAATGGATTTCTAGTCCATCGCCTTAACCACTCGGCCACGACTGCGGTACAAGTAGGGGGCTCTGAGATGTGGTAGCAATTCAAGAGCTGGGGATGTCATAGATAAAACGTTGCATGTACTAGCCGCTCAACGTCTATACAGGAGAGGGCGCTGCGGTCAAATACGTATATAATCTCGTTAAACTGTGCATGCATTGGCTCAATGTTTATAGACGAAAGGGTGCTGCAGTCAAATGCTCAAGTGCGTATATAACCACGTTCCATACCACACATTCTTCTCTGACATGGATGAAAACGAACGAAAGGCTCGGCATGCTGTGGCTCAGTGTCTACGCAGACAAGCACCACCAGAGCTTTGCCCCAATCAACATCATTCACCACGTGGAGATGCGGTCATTTTTTTATCTTGTTACTTTTACTCGGGTATGTTTGTTCTTTGAAATATTGACACACAAGATGCCTCACCTATTTCTGCAATAAAATGTAGAGCATGACCCTTTGACAATCTGGTTTACGCAGTTCCGACACACTTCCTGGTTCATGCTGCGTGTGGGGACGCTTTAATAACTAAGCTCCTTTACAGGGTCTGTGATGCCTTGCTGCTGGCAGATGAAAAGGTGACCGGCCTGGATGGGTGAGCCCTTTTTTTGTTATTTTAATTCATTACATAATTTCCAACCAGAGATAAATAAAGATATCGCCAAGCTCTTGTGTCAAAAAAAAAGAAAAGGATATTTTGGTGGACAAACCATGCAGATGTTTGGCATCTATGTACACCACGACTGCAGCAGCCCGAAAACTAGGGCACTGCCCTTGCAGTCAGCACAACACTTGCCAGGAAAGATGAAACATATTGCAAAGAACTCGAAGAGGAACCTTTTGACCATTTGTATCCAGTGTCTCGTTACAATACTCTGCACCCTTATCATTGGCCATGGAATTCTTCTTGGCAAAGAAATGGGCAGGTGGCGGCAGCAATCCGAGACCAAATTGTGCTGCCCATCAACGATTGAAATGGGAAAACAATAGTATCCCATAAAAAAAAAAGAATGAGCAGCCTTTTGTGAATTTACAGTACAGTCGAAGCGACAGCTATGGCGCCTTACCGAACTCTAATGTATTCTTACGTGTCTTGCACCTTACATGGAGGAACCGTCGCCAATGCTTGCTCAGAGAGTGACACGCTCATTTATTTTATATACACAGAAGCTAACGGATGGGCACGAGACTCGGGTGGCGCAGTGCGACGTTGACGTGACTGCAGTCATCTAGTGGGCGCCGCGTGAGGATTGTATTTGCAGCTGTCCCCAACACGTGCGGTTTATTAGGCAGTGCATTGAAGCAACTGGCATGGCTCCACGGTACCGCGCTCGCTTCGCAATCGGCGAACCCGAGATTCAATTCGGAGGAAAGCGCTGCGGGTTTTGGGGGCTTCCCTACACCTGCAACAGCAACTGCATTGTTTCAAGTCGGGAGAAAAGCGCATATCGGCTATTGCCGTAAAATTATCTGGTTCCTCGGAGGGCTCAATTATCGTGAGCTTTGTTCTAAGGGGGGTAAAAGGCGAACGAGACGAAACTCCTGTCGCGCTTGCAGCCGTCCCCTGCGCCTGTGGCAGACAACGCACGAGGTTGGCCGGGATTGCCACAACGACAGCCCCTCGGCCGACGCTTGGCTGGAGGCGTTTGTGGCCCTGAGCGACTCCTGGGTCCAGCTGATGTTGCGCAGGAATGCCGGCGGCCACCCGCAGGTGGTGCAGGCGCAGATGCTCTGGGACGCCCTGGAGGCCCGCTCCCACCGGCCGGACGCTCTCTACCGGCACTTGGGGCGCCTGCCCTTCCTCCGGGGCACCCTGGACTCTCAGGTGAGCCACCTTGACCTCGGGCCTTTCCTTTTGTAGGCCCGCTGGAGCTGGCCTCGATGGCATGTTTTAGAGCGCAGCTCTTAGGGGCCCGTTCCCGGCTTGAGCGGCGTCGCCGTCGGCGTCGGCGTCGGCGTCGGCGTAACCGCAACCCTCGTAACCCTCGTGAGGGTTACGAGGGTTAATCTCATGAGGGTTACCCTCACGAGGATCACGAGGGCCACGAGGGTTACTTACCCTCGTAACCCTCACGAGGGTTACGAGGGTTAGTTACCCTCAAAAGGGTTACCTTCACGAGGGTTACCCTCACGAGGGTTACTTACCCTTGTAACCCTCACGAGGGTTACGAGGGTTACTAACCCTCGTGAGGGTAACCCTCGTGAAGGTAACCCTTTTGAGGGTTACGAGGGTTAGTAACCCTCGTGAGGGTAACCTTCACGAGGGCTACCCTCACGAGGGTCACGAGGGTTATGAGAGTTACCCTCACGAGGGTTACTTACCCTCGTAACCCTCACGAGGGTTACGAGGGTTAGTAACCCTCGTGAGGGTAACCTTCACGAGGGTTACCCTCACGAGGGTTATGAGAGTTACCCTTACGAGGGTCACGAGAGTTACCCTCACGAGGGTCACGAGGGTCACGAGAGTTGCCCTCACAAGGGTTACTAGGGTTACCCTCACGAGGGTCACGATGGTTACCCAGGTCAAGTGACCCCCCCTGGGGTCACGTGACCTGGGGATACCCCCGAGGTCACGTGACCCCCCGTTGACGTCATAGCCACTGATGACGTCATCAGTGACGTCACTGATGATGTCACCGGCATCCGCATCGTCATCGTCATCATCACTGATGACGTCATTAGTGACGTCACTGATGACGTCACCGGCATCCGCATCGTCATCATCATCACTGATGGCGTCATCAGTGACGCTACTGATGACGTCATCGGTATCGTCACGTGGCCCCAGGTCACGTGACCCCCGCGACGTCACGTGACGCCCCAAGGTCACGTGACTCCCACAAGGTCACGTGACCCCCCGCGCCCGAGGTCACTTGACCCACCCCCCAGTACCCTTCCCTCCTCCTCCTCAAGAGCTGCGCTCTAATTCGGCGTTACAGGGAGTTGTAAACGGCTTTCATTTTTTTTGCCACTCAGTTCAAATGCAGCAGCATAAAGATGCTTTACTGTTTTTTCTTGAATTAAAGCTGCACTACAAGCGCTTCTGACTTTATCATTTTAGGAGTCGGTACTGTCGCGGACTGATTTTTCGGACTAGGAGGGGACCCCAAAATGGTCCGACAAATCAAGCGATCCGAAAAATCAATCTCAGCCAAAATATCAAATTTGCACGCATATTCTGCTGCGTATTGGCCACTTTCCACTTGCTTGATGTCAAATTTAACTCTTCGTGCAACTTCCGCCTTATATTGTTCACTTTTCACTTTTTTGTTTATTTATTTACAAAAGCAAACCTGCAGCACTGAAAGTTCGGCATTATAGCTAGTACAGGCCATGGACGCTCAATAAAGAACTAAAAAACGGAACACTTGAATATACAGTAGACTTATTAATTCAAACTCCAGGAAGTCGCAGATTTTAGTTTGAATTATCAGAAGTTTGATTAATCGGGAATTCATCCAAATATGATACTAGACAACATTATGATTTGTTTCATGGATACCTACACATACAAAGCAGATTTTTGCCAGTTTCCTCTACATAGGCCTAATTATGAGCAAGTACAGGTATAACACATTGGTGAAAGAACTGTAATGTTGAGTTTATTCATCTGGCAAAAAATTTGTCGATTGTGGACTGTTTAATCATAGCACATGAGATCTCATTACAAAATTTTCAATACCAGCCAATGCAAGTAGCTCCTTACGGGACTCTTCCTTTGCAGACAGAAACTTCCGGAGCTGAGCGATGTGCTCAAAGGCCTCTGCGGCTGTGACAGTTGGTAGTGGGTCATCCCTTTCTTCATCGTCATCTTCACTCTCACTGCTGCACTGTGCTGGCATTACTTCCTGTACTATGTCCTCTAATGAGTCATCACGACAAACACACATCGTCGTCAAGACTAGCATATTCCGCCAGCTCGGCGTTCACATTATATTCTTAAAGTCAGAAAGCATGATGCCAGTGAGCTATTCCTCATCCTCGATGTCGTCTTGGTCATCATTGCTAGTCTTGAAGCACATAATGTGAACGCCATTTAACGCTAATGTATGCCCGCTTGAGCGCCGTTGAGTGCGCTTCTTTCAGAGCACCGGTGTACTGCAGAGAAGCAACACTTGCGAAAGCAAGCTTTGCGGGTATCGCTTCTCTGTGGTGCACCGGTGCTCGGAAAGAAGCGCACTCAACGGGGCCGCGAGAACAAAAAAGTTGAATGCGAAAACGCCGTTCGAATTAAGCGGCTTATAAGTACATTAAAAACATAACGGGACAACCAAAATTTTCAAATCTGTTTGAATTAACCGGAAGTATGAAATATCCGAGTTAGAATTATCACGATCCTACTGTACAGCCTCAGCTGTCAAGAAAGAGAATACATAAACAATAAAAATAAGTAACAGCATTAAAAATCTAGACCATTTCCTGAGGAAAATTGTCCCACGTCATCATTAATTAAAAAAGAGACTCGGGTAACAGGTTCCACTGAGCTATTGTGTGTGGAACAAATTAAAACTTCTTATAATTTGTACTACTGCAAATTCCCCTTATCTTTCTGGAATAATCCACACGATTTGAAATATAGTTAGATAACTCCATGTATTTGCTTCTATCGATACCTGTCGAATCGTTAAAAATTGTGAGTAGGAACCTCAATCGAAAATCTTTGTGTCTTAACAATAAAGTTTCCCAACCAAGTACATTTTTAATCTCTGTAACGCTATTGTTTCTACTATAACTTCCGGTTACAAATCTCGCTGCACGGTTTTGAAGTTTCTTTAACTTATGTGCACGGTATTTTTGGTGCGGATCCCACAAAACACATGCATACTCTAGTGTTGGTCTAACGAAACAGCAGTAGGCTGTCCCCCTTGATTTCTGTGGAGCACCGCGTAAATTTCTAATAAGAAAATTTAAAGTTTGGCTGGCCTTTCTAGCAAAAAAAAGTGTGCTTGACAAGGTAATTCCCAAATATTTAACATCAGTGTTATTTATGATGATCACTAAAATAACATGATAGGACAGGGTTAAGTTTCCTCCCAAAAACGACTTGCACACGCTTATCCACATTCAAGCCCAACTCCCAAATCCTGCACAAATCCGATACACTATCCAGATCCAACTGTAAAAAAGCCAAATCACTAACACTGTCAACCCTGCTTTACAGAGCACAATCGTCCGGAAACAGCTTTATGGACGATTTAACGGTCGATCATATGCCATTAATAAACACAAGAAATAAAAGAGCTCCCAGCACTGACCCTTGCAGCACGCAAGAATTCAGATTAACAAAGTCTGAGCTTGCACCATTTATAATGACACACTGCTCTCTCCCAGAGAGGTAATTTTCTATCCAGCGGTATAAGTTTCTATCAAAGCTAAGGGAGATCTGTTTGATCATGGTGCTGCGCTTTGTCGGCACCTTCGTTGGCACAAACAGCAAAGTGTAACTTGGTGCCATTTGGTACTATTGAGAGACAACGTTTCGTCCGCCAAGCTCGCTTAGAGGGCAACTCCGCTCAATTCCAAAAAATATAGGCTTATATGTGATTCAAATTCACAAAGCACTACTAAACAACTCTACGTCTTCGGATTGGCGAAATGTGGAATAGTATTTGTGTAATCCTAATTTAAAAATCAGCTGATACCGAAGCCGAAACTTCGGTTGCGTCAGGCAACATTGGTCTCGGGCCGTCAGAGTCATGGCCACGTCACGTCGAACCACGTGGTCTTGTGACGTTCGGGAGGGAGCGAGAAACAGGACACGCGACGCGGGCAGGTCTTTTTTTTTTTTTTCGATACCAGCAGGTCGCTTTGGCATGGCGTGGACGGTGATGGCCCGGGGGAGAGGGGGAAGGGGAGAAGACGAAAGAGGAGAAGGGGAGCGGAGAAACAGACCGATAAGCGCGCAGGGCAGCGCAAATTAGCGCATCCGTGTTACGGTGATCACGTGAACGCCCGGTCAGCCAACACTGGGAGGAGAAACTCATGACGTCATCGTTCAATTTCGCCCTGAGAAGCAAAAACAAACAAAACGTGAGAATGACGTATACATGCCTCTGACATAGTGGCTCAACGTTGGCCGCTCCAACTCCGTGGTATTGACTGCGCTGATGATTGCGCCTCGCGCCGCACGCTAGAGTTGGCAGATTTCGGCGACTTGGCTCGCTTGAGGGTTTGCTGGCCGGTTTATTAAATATATAAACGGAATTAGATCATAATATTTGACATGGGGTCTTCCTATATGATACTGAAGAGGGCTACATAGTTTTCTAAATATCGAAAATGAAGCGGAGTTGCCCTTTAAATACTAAGCCTATCGTCTAGAAACCTTTGCGCTCAATGACCACGAGAACGGCAGACGGCCACTTTTCTCGTGGTTGCACTCGAAAAACACGAACCACGACAAGAACTGGAAGAGCCATAAGAATGGGCAGACGGCAGCCATGTTAGCTATAGCGGAACTGGGAAAACCCGTCTATAGCTTTAAACCAGCTCGTTTATTGCGTATAGGACGTGGTATTGAGGCTAGAGGACAAAATCAAAACAACCAAAATAGTGGCGACTTGTGACTGTAAATAAAGGAAATCACACGAACCATGTCCGAAATATAGAGGAATAAGCTTTATGGCGACCAAAATTTCGGTCAATGTTATACATTAACTTTATGCTGTGAGTGACGGTTTGGCAAAAACGTCCGAATAATCGGGCGTGTCCGAAAAGTCGGTTGGCGACTCTAACTTGACCAGCAGGCTTTGTAGAATTGTTTGCGATTTATTCGCGCATATATCTCACTTCTGAAATAACTACAGGAATTCATAGGCTTGCCCAATGGAAGAATGTGGTTCATTTGCAGGAGAAAGTCCTTGACTGGCTGCTGAGCAGACTGCCAGCCCACCTGGCTCACTGTCCAAAGCGGCAGGAATTTGTCATAACGGTAAGCCCTTGGACAATGTGCAAACTCTGCTGAAGTATCATCTTCCTGGTATTATGCTGTAGAATAGGCGATTGATAGGATGACAAGAAATATATGCACAGTAGAACTTCAATGTGTTTCAGAGTACTGCAGTAAAAAAGAGAAGCAAGAAAAAAGGACTGCAGTAAACCACCGCTATCACGTTTGGAAACTATAGATTGAGACAGGAAGCAACTCTCGCACAATTTGTTAAACAAACTTTCACACCTTTGGGGGAACTACCATATTTAATCAAAATGAGGTTGTATTTTTATAGCGCAGCTTTTAGGCGCCTGTTTCCGGCTTGAGCGGCATCGCCGTCGGCGTAACCGTGAGGTCACGTGGCCCCACCCCCTGGTCACTTGACCCCCCCCCCCCCCCCCAGGTCATGTGACTTCCCAGGTCACGTGACCCCCCCCCGAGTCACGTGACTCCCCCAGGTCCGGGGGTCATGTGACCCCCGTGAGGGGAGGAGGAGAAAGGAGGGGAGCAGTGAGGATGAGCAGGGGGGACGAATCCGAATTTTCATTACTTCGAAAAATGATTTTAAAAGACTCTGATCTCTTGTCCCTCGGCCGGCTTCGAACCGGAGCCCTTTCCTTCAGGAGTAGCAGGCAGGATCACGAGGGAGGAGGAATATACCCTTTCCTCAGTATTCTTCCCTCCTCCTCCTCAAGAGCTCTACTCCAATTCGGCGTTACAGGGAGTTGTAAACTGCTTTATTTTTTAACTGCTACCTAAAATTAAGTACCTATATACAGTCATACCCAGATATATTGAATTCAAAGGGCATTGTACTAGTTCGATATATCGATTTGATATACAAAAATATGTTAACTTAAGCTCCACGACAAACAGGACCTTACTGAATAGAGGACCTAAGAGCCGCTAAATATAGCAGAGCGTAGCTCGCGTGCACCTGGCCACGACCTCTACACAGCACAAGCGACAAAACACGAAAATAATTTTAAAAAATAATAAAAGCAAGCCACATAAAAAAAAAAAAAAAAAAAAGATCTTCATTTATAGAACAAAGTTAGGCATGCAACAAAAAAGAAAGCTCACTAAATTCAGGCAGCAAAAAAAAAAAAAAAACAAGAAAAAAAAAACTGGCAAAGCAAAAATTGCAAAAGAAAAACATAAACAAAGATAAGGCATTCAAAGTGTGATTGCTCAACCATTGTTGTCGACACACTCAACTTGCTGGAGACATTTTTTTTTGCTTATTTTGGGGCTAAGGAGTCGTGCAGCGACAGCATTGTTCGGGGAAAGAGCGCACGCTACCCCTCCAACAGCGGGCACTCTTTGCCCCTAGGCCCACTCGTGCCCTTCCCCCTTGCTTTTGCCATCCTCCACCTTCTTTTTTTTTTTTTTAAGGTTGCCCTTGTCTTTTTTTTTCCCCCGCTGCGTATTCCCCGTGCTTGTATGCTGGCTTGGCGGCGTGCCAGCCACTCAACTAGAGCGATGTGCTCACCACCTGCACAATTGGGGCACAATGGGATTGCGGGAAAAGCGGCGGGCTTCGTTCGCTATATTGAGTGTCCCCCGCCATGGGGATTGGATACAAAAAACGATGCTCCCATACTATTACATGTGATTTTCAAGGGGATGTCTGGACTGTTTGATATAAACAATAATTCGAAATACCCGAGTGCGATATTGCCACGTGCGTCGGCGAGCGAGCGCATGCATGGAAAGTGGTTACCGTGCTTGACTGTCACGCGGAAGGTTTGGGAGCGATTGCAGTCAGCGGACTGTCCTTTTATTTATTCTTTCTACTGGGCGTTCCCGTAAGTTTGAGAACATTCTCGTCTGATCGAGTTCCGAATGTTCTACGCACCGAAAGTTCTACGCCGAATGTTCCAGAAAACCACGACGGTACTTTAGGGAGTTCCGCATGGCGAGTGCAGTCAGTCTCGCCCCAGCGTTCGACTCTGCCGTTATGCCGACTTCGACGCCCGCGACGCTCTGTTGTTGTCCTCTAGTTCTTTCTTGGTTTTGGGCACAAGTTCACCCCATTAAACGTTTCATTTTTCTCAGTTATTTTTTGTTTCGTCACCTCATCATTCGTGAAATTGCTCAGCATTATCGAAAAACACTAAATCAACAAATTGCAGAACGATAGAAGGCACGCGAAGCATTTTACGGCTTTCTGAAAAACTGCACAAAATCTATGTGTTTTTAAGTTTCGGTTTGCTATCGGAGCGCATCTCAGCCCCGGCGGCACCGCGCCCCGTGGAGAGGTAGTGCAACCAGCCTCTGCTGCGTCGCGCGATGACAGCGCAGCAGAGGCTGGTTGCACTATCTCCCCATGGGGCGCGGTGCCGCCGAGGCTGAGATGTGCTCCGATAGCAAACCGAAACTTAAAAACACGTAGATTTTGTGCAGTTTTTCAGAAAACCGCAAAAATGCTTCGCGTGCCTCCTATCGTTCTGCAATTTGTCGATTTAGTGTTTTTCGATAATGCTGAGCAATTTTCTAATTTACACCATGCCCTTAAATACAATATTAAGAAAAGTTAATTACGCAAAAATAATTAACTTAATTATGCCGGACTTTAATAATTTTCCTAAAAGGGCCCCTGGCCCAGGACCAAAACGTCACAAGCCTTTTTTTGTTGCGATGAGTAGTTTTCGCAGGAGCGATTTGGCCTGCGTTCTCTGAAACACCCTGTATATATATATATATATTAAGCCTTGCTGTCTCAGGTTATTCATAATTTTAATTTATCTCTTCACTTTGGATGGGCACCCTTATGGGATTTTACAGATTATTTTCACGGGTGGTGACCAATAAACAAAAAATAAACAGAAAGAAATAAACGTTTAATGTGGCGAACTTGTGCCAAAAATAAAAGGGTACAAAAGATAATGACGGAGCGTCGCGGGCGTCGAAGTCGGCGTAGCAGCAGAGTCGAACGCTGGAGCGAAACTGACTGCAGATCAGCACGCGGAGTCCCTTATGTACGCGCGTTGGGTTCTGGAACAATCGGCCTAGATTGTTCGGCGACTGGAACATTCGTAACTTGATCTGACGAGAATGTTCTCGAACTCACGAGAATGTTCTCGAACTCACGAGAACGCAATGAAAGAGCAAATAAAAGGGCATTCCACTGACTGGAATCGAACCCAGACTTTCTGCGCGACAGTCAAGCACGGTAACCACTCGGCCACGTGCGCAATCGCTCACCGACGAGCGTGGCAATATATATCTATACTGTAAAATCCCATAAGGGTGCCCATCCAAAATGAAGAGATAAATTAAAATTATGAAAAACCTGAGACAGCAAAGCTTTATCAAAAACTAATGATAAACACAGGGGCACCCACTACAAACCATGTGACGCGGTAATTGATACTGCAGATTGCGAACAGGGCAAGTTCGCGTTTCGAAACGCAATGACACACGGGAATGCGCCACCAACTCCTGTGTCACAGGAAAGGATACCGCAAATGCAGATGGAGCAAATTCGATTCGTGTTTTAAGGTGTGATAAACGCTCTGAAACCGGCTACAAACTTTAAACAGCCATGGGAACCAATATCGTGTGCAGATCGCAGACAAAAAAAGTGGGGAGTTGCTAGGAACTCGCTTGTCTCAGGAACCAACATTGTGCGAGCGCGGATCGCAGACAAAAACGCGGGAACCCACAGTTAACTCTCTTGTCACACGTACCAGTACTGCAGATCTCTCGGTTGATGTGGTTCCCGTCAGAATCGCGTGATGTCTGGTGGGAATTGTGGGGTGGCCGATGTTTGGGAATTTTTATGTTACGGGTGTTTAACCAGAAAAACATGTTGGGCGATCCCTCGGGAGGGAGCCCTTACAAGATTTTACGGTATAAACATATTATATACATGTATATATATATTGTCACGAATGACGAGGTGATGAAACATAGAATAACCGAGGAAACTAAAATGTTTAATGGGGCGAACTTGTGCCCACAACAAAAAAGGAATTAATTGGGGGTTGTGTACATATTTATACAGCGTGTAGTTGGTCAACAATTTCGAAGTTGCGACGAGTCACTCGCTGTTGATAAGCAATTTAGCCAGTGCAGTACAACCGCTAGCCTGGGGTTTTTAAAGTGCACCACGCAGTAGTGATGCACGACAGCACGTTGGTACGATGGATCGAAACGGGCAGGGGTTTTGCAGCGCGACCTTTTGCTCTACGTGCTCAGAGCTGGTGTGCACTAGCCCACTCAACCATTGATCCATTGATCCCCCTGACAAAAAGGGAACAGAAGATGACAACAAAGTGTCGCAGGCGTCTAAGTCGGCGAAATAGCAGGATCAAATGCTGGGGCGAGACTGACTGCAGCTTGCCACGGGGAGCACCTTTTTGTAGCCGTGTGGGTATCTGGAACATTCGGCCTTGAAGATTTGTATCAGACAAAATGCCAAGTAGAAAGAATAAATAAAAGAACATTCCGCTGCCTGGAGTCGAACCCAGATCTTCCGCGCGACAGCCAGGCACGGTAACCATTCGGCCACGTATGCGCTCACTCAGCGATGTGCGTGGCAATATATGTATAGTATATGTATATCTGCTACGAAAGTATGTCAACGAATAAGACTGAGCGAAATTCCCATAACCCATTAGCTAACCCAGACACTCCTCCACATCAGCCGCTGCTCCTTCTATGCCGGTGCGAAACGGTGAAGGTCAACATGCGCACCGTTGCAAAAAGGTGAAGCTCTACTTGCACGCCAGACCAAAGCCGGTCATCTCCGTAAGAGTCAGTCTTTAAAAACATCAAGAGCATTCTTGTCTTCTACAGGGAAGCCGCGCTTTTGCAAGTTCACAATGTAACGTGCACCACTAACATATACCTCCAATGAAAATTTTGATCTTATTACTTGCAGTTGTCAATTTTTCGGACTAGTTCTACAGGGATCCTTTCTATTTCAGCCACATGGCTGAAAGCAGTGGTTGCAGTGGACAGCCGTGTCCAACCCTGCTGGTCCTGTGGTTTCTGCTTCCCATGTCGTAGCAACCTTTTTCCTGCATTCACATGTAACCTTCCAATACTCGTTTTCATGCTCCAACCCGGACATCCGTCTGTGGTCAATCTACTTAGTAAATATTTGGATTGCACACGCAGCACTGGACATAATTTAATTTTGGTTTCAGTTAGGAGCAAAAGGACTGCATAGCACCATCTGTCTGGTTGTCTAATCACAGAGGCCGCTAACTGCCATCGGCCAAATGACAGTTGTCGGAGCCCACATAACCAGGCCATTAGCGTAGATAGTCGAGCATAGATCGACCCCTGTACTTGCTGATGAGGATAATGCTTATTCCAGTACGACTCAATATAATGATTTTAGGGCAAGTCCTCAGGGTGGAGAACATTTACGCAAAATTAAATAGACTTTCGTCATTTTATCTCGCGCCCTCTCGGCGACTGGTGGTCGCCGGAAAAATTCGCCTTGTCCAGGGTAGGTACCACCAATTCTGCATAGGTACCGTAATTTTAAAGAACTGGAATTCCTACGAACATTTATTTCGCAGCATCCTTAGTCACCCTCGGTGGAACTCCCCCACCGACAGCACCAACTAAGTCATCATCAGAGCTCCCAGCAATGACCACCCAGGCACCTCCGCATCAAGCTTCACCACTTTGCACCGGTGTACTCGGAGAAGCTACAGACTAGACATAGCATGTTGGTTAGCTCAGTAAGCTCTAAAATTTTGTTTATTATTATAGGTTGACTCAAAATTTTTAAAAATGGTGCCGGAAAGAAGAAAAATTTGACCTGTAGGTTTTCCTCATGCGGCCGTTGCTATCCCGGACGGCGGAACTTCCGACACGCAGGAAAGTGTTGCTTTGCCACCACCTGGAAAGTGCTCACGTCATAACTGCGACTGTCACCCATTCTTGTTTTGCCTCCTTTATGTTTTCCTGCTCCAAAGTGCGGTATGCTGCTCGTTTTACTTCCTTTCTGCATTACTGGGTATGCGAACCACGTGGCTGGGAACAAGGGTAAACAAAAAGGGTCTTCGTTGAAACAAGTATGGTTACTGTCCCCCCCTCTTATTAACTGCCGCCCTGCAGCTGGTGAAGATCCACTGGGGCTGCGAGGAACAGGACCCTGTGGGCAGGGTGCTCTTCTACACCAAAGACCGGCCCGACCGTGCCCTGCGGGTCGACCAGTTGGCCCCGCCTGCCGTTTCCATGCTGCCCGCCAGCTTCCAGGAGACCCGCTGGCACGTGCTGCTGCGCTCTGCTCCTGCGGAGGACCTCGCAGAGGCCATCCGGCTCTGCTCACAGGAGTTCCGCACCAACGGACGGCCAACGTGAACCCCGCAATGGTCATTCTTTCGCGTAGAAGATTCTAAGAACAGTCAAAGAAAGGAGCGTCTCATTGTGGCAACGTCCGATTCTACTCGTGGGAGCTCTTCACCTACGGGCGCCTGCTGGGATCCTCATGACGGTCGTTTTCTCGTGTGGAGGAAGCCGGGACCGGACGGCACTTTGCTGCTTCGACGCAACAAACATTTTCGGTGTACTGGCAATGCAGCTATTGCATTTTGTTTCGTCTTACGACGGGCCCCGGTGGATGCTACAAACCATTGGAGCCCATCCAACGTCGTGTTGACCTTCGGGAAGGACACGGCAACGTGCAAGGCACGTAGAGTCACGGGAGAGATTTGCGGCACCGGATTGGCTTGTAACGTCTGCCGCAGTCTGTCGTAAGAGCGAAACAAACTTTAGAGAGAATAAGAAAAGGATGTTCTCAAATGCCCAACCGGCAGTAAGGGCTGGCCGCCCTCGACTGCGCACGGTTCGAGCTCGCACGACACAGTCGAGTCTTCGTCGAAGGCACGCTGCTTGTATATCGGTAGTCCCCGGAAGCGAAAGACCTCAAGTTGGCGACAAAAAGAGTGTGGTGTGGGAACTGCAGATACTTCGCATATCTACAGGGCGTCTCAAATAGCGGCCAGGCTCTTTAAATTGACCGCAAAAATTGGCTTCTTAACCTGTCGCGCTACGATTTTGTGCAGCATTGCCCACAGGTGGTGCATTTTTTCTATAAAATTTGCAATAAGCGAACTTACCTGAGGAAAAAGTAAAAAAAGAAAAAGGCTTAACCTCTATGGAGATGCAGCGAAGCCACCGGTCTTCAAACTATAGGGTGTTGCTTGGCACGGGAGAGAAGAAATGGTGCAAGCGGTCACGACGCCAATTGTTGCCAACAGACAAGCATACGGCACTGAGAGCAGGCGTCAAATATCAGACAAACTTTTCGACTCAAAAGCGGCATGAGCTTTTTCGATGTCAGTTGCCAATGCACGATTTTATCATCCTTACGAGAAAAACGCACTGAATGGACAGACAATAGATTAAAAAATGGTTTGTCGGGTTATTTTGACTGTTTTTTTCGGGGTACCTGTGTCGTCTGCTTTGCAGTTCCTTGTAGTTACCGCACCCGTTTTGGGTTATGCGTCTGTCGCCGCCTGCGGAACCCACGCTGCTTTTGAGTCGAAAAGTATGTCTGCTATTTGATGCCGGCTTTCGGAGCCTTATGCTCGTTCGTTGGCGGCAGTTGGGGTTGCGACCGCTTGCGTCATCTCGTCTCCCGTGCCAAACGGCGCCCTAATGTTTGAAGACCGGTGGCTTTGCTGCGTTTCCATACAAGTTAAGCCTTTTTCTTTTTTTTACTTTTTCCTCAGCCAAGTTCGCCTTTTGCAAATTTTATAGAAAAAAATGCACCATCTGGGGGCAATGCTGCACAAAATAGTACCGCGATACGTTGAGAAACCGGTTTTCGCATTCGATTTAAAGAGCCTGGCTGCTATTTGAGACACCCTGCATGGACAGGGAAGGGTGCCCTCGACATCTGGCACGAGCTCCGTGTTATGTGATCTCGAGAAGTTGCAACATGCAAGAGCACGCATGGTCCGATGAAAGCGAGATCGCCCCCAGTTCAAACTTGTCAGTGAGTGACAACAAACAATTTTAGAAAGCGCTGGTTTATTACAACGATATCACTGATGCATGCTGGCCAGAAGTTCTGACTAGGTGTGTTGTTTGTTTTTTTTCTTTTGCCAGCTGGATGCTGCAGTGACCGTCGAAGACTATTTCTTGTATAAGTTGGCACAGTGTAGTTGAGGTGGCACCACACCCCTAAATTTCCTCGGCTGAAAGCATGGCTGGTATCACAGGTGCTACCTGGAAGAGACAAAGTAGTTAATGAGAACTTTACGATAGCAACAAATATTCTGGGGCTAAGCTATAGAAATGCCAGGTATGCTTTCTGGCCGGAAACAATCTTGCTGTGCCTCCATTTTAAGTTAGCCTGTATTCAACGCTAAACTATTATCCCTCAGTACGAATTTGCAGTGCTTGGTAATGGCCCCAGTGCTTGCCCTGGAAGCAGTCTCCTATATTCGACTTGCACCGTTATTACAAGGTGTGAGACTTGCTCATTATTAACCCTAAATATGTAATCCCTAAAAAGAAGTGCTCAGAAATTGAGTTTGTTGTGGCAAAAAGAGGCTGTGAACTAAAATAAACTGCATGGGTGTTGTCTAGTCTAATAACAAAGCAATGCAAACATTGTAAAAAAAAACAAAAAAAAAAAACAACTAATAGTGCTGTTATAAATAAAGTACTTTGTGAAAAATTAGCAGGCCATTTTCATCAATAACGAAGTATACAGCAAACAACCATTTTCGTGGGCTTAATATTTCACGAATTTGAAAAATTAAGTTTCAGAAACTGACGTAAAATTTTATATTCGAGAATAGCGCTATGTTTTGTATGTATTACCACGGGGTTAGGTATTTCAGTAACGGCCTAAAATTAAGCATTTTTATTTACAGATACTGTTCACCACTAATGGGCTATGACAGCTGTGGGGTACACATTCACATAAGGAAGCAAATAAGGAATAAGGAAGCAAAACAATCAAATCAATACCAGGTATTGATTTGGTTTACAGGTGATGCAGCTATGTTGCTCACACGCAGATATTTTTGCTGTCTTGGCTCAACCTGGCATGTGGCTCTTTCTGAAAGTGAAGAGTGGAAACTATTCAACTGACAGGCTTTTAGCACCGTTTTAGCTAAAAACTGCCCTCGCAGCATTGCAGCTGCAAAAATTTGCAGTTCGGTTTCTACGGGAAAACACTCTTTGTAGGAGCCCAACATTAAAATAAAATGCGCTATGCTTTCAGAAAGCATACAACTAGAACCAGTCCTTGTTTTCACAAGCGCTGTTTTAAGAAAAATACGAAAAAAATTCATATTTTGTGCACTCCTGTTTTTTGTTGCCAGTGTCCATTTTCTTTCTTCTCCCGACCTTGTTCCCTAGTGTAGCAAAAGTGAAAAAAATTATCCCTTGGCAACGAATGATCTGCTCCATCGGGCTTGCCAAAGGTTTAATGTAAAGAGGTGCATAAGCCACAGAAACTGCAAACCAGAAAAAACAAGAACAACAATGCTGCAACCAGTGGCCACTTTAGGGGACCCAGAGACATTGAACCGTGAGCAAGGGTCGCTCGGATCCCTGCAGCTTTCGTTTCGGGGTCCCCTCAGCTCGCAATAAACCGTGGGCGGGACGCCCTCACCTGGCGTCGTGCCGGTGGCCGCCCTCTTCCCACCGCTGTCCGGTCAGCAACTGGCCTCCTGGAATGCATGACCAGGCTCATTCGGCAGTGCCAACCCCTCCCACAAACGAGTCCCCAAATTAATCGGGAAGAGTCGAGCCTCTCGAAAAAACGTAAACAGAAGTCGAAGGGGAACAAGACGGAAAAGTGAAAGTTGCTCTTGAAAAATAATCAGCCAAGCTGTTCGCTGATCAAAAAAAAAACTAAGTTAAAGATACAGCTGTCGTAATATCCCCTATTTCTGACAGGATTCGCCATTCTTTCAAGAAACAACGAAAGATAGCCCACTTCTTGTATAACTGCAGAGTACTGGTCAATGGTGACCTCGGCGGAAATGGTGTTACTCGGCCACGGCGGGAGATACGCAAACATTGCTGAGTGGGAAGGACAGTCATCTTTGACACACCATCCCTCTCTGCGATCACAACTCTTGTGGGTCACAATTTAAAACTAACATTCTTTCAACTTTTTTTTTTTTTTTTGCACAGAGGAAGTTAGTTTATTTTTTATTTTCACCCGATTTGCTTTCAATTTAAGGTGGGCTATCTCTCGGAATATTAAAGTACTGCAGGTACATTCTTGTACAAATGGGCTTAAAGTTTAGGGTTACTCACAAAACAATGACTATGTTACGTACAGTGTCGCTGGAACGAAAGGGGCAGGAAGGGCTAAAGATGTTTTTTCTTTTCCTTTGCAATAGTCACGAGGTCGCCTATATGCTTCCCCGCCGTTCCACAGCCCTTGACTCTCCGCGATGTCATATCACTAGGGATGGGCGAATATTCGGTTATTACGAATAGCCAATCGAATTCTGTTCTATTCGGCATTCACTTCGAATTGAATTTAAGTATTTGACAATATCGAATTATTCGACAATATAGAATTATTCGACCTTTCTAAATACAGTCAAATCCGACCATATCGAACTCGTTTACATCGAATTATTCCTTATATCGAACAATTTTTGTGCACAGTAATGTTACAGTGATAATGTATAGCAAAAACTACGGTTGCATCAAACAAAAATAGCAGCCTCTACCGATATATCGAACTGCGAAGAGCGCCGTTTCGCTCTGCAAGCTGGCTTTCCCTTAACGAAGGTGGCCGCATTGGGGGAAAGCCAACTGTCAAAGCACACTGGCTTTTTTTTTTTTTTTTTTTTTGGGCGGCCGCGTTGTTTGCTTGGAAGAAAAGAAAATATATCTTTTGCGGAGAGAAGGTGCTCCGCTGCCCGCTAAGCACCCGGATAGCGCTCCATCATCCGCCACAAGATCTTGAACTATGCAGATAAAACTGGCTGCGCCAATGCGCAGCTGCGGCGTTTTCTTGACTGATACCGTAGCGGAGGAGAAAAACGGTCTACTACAATTCCCTATTTTTTCTTCCAAATTGACGCGGCCGCCCCAAAAAAAAAAGAAAGAAAAAAAACAAAAAAAAGCCAGCTTGCTTTGTTAGTTGGCTTGCCCCAACACAGCCACCTGTTTTAGGGGAAAGCCAACTTGCAGAGCAAAACGGCGCTCTGCAGGAGAAGGTGGTCCCGTTATACGCGCTCCGTGCTTTCGGCATAGTTCGGCGCTAATTCGGGAATATAGAAGGCAGCGGCCTCAGCATTTTGGAGTCCGTCGATAGCGTAGGAAAATATCGTTATTGCGTATGCAATTTTGAAAAAGCAGCAGAAGATGCATTGTGTAATATTTCAGCTGAAAGTGGATTTCTGAGAGTCAGTCATTAAAACTTTTGTATCGAATTACCCGCTATATCGAACTGGTAGACGTTTTTAAGCGAGTTCGATATAAACGGGTTTCACTTACTCTGGCTTGGATTTACGGCCAGGTGGCACAAGCTTCCGACCGTTTCGTGCTAGCGAACTCAATACACTTGAAATTAACAATTACATTATATCTAATACCAAATAAGGACAAATATAAAACTATTGCTTAAACATATCTTGTGGTATTTTTTGCTTGTACTCTTCAAACTATTTGGTTCGAAATTATTTGACCAAAATCACTATTCGCTTCGAATTCGACTCGGACCCAAAATCCTCTATTCTCCCATGCCTACAAATCACGTGATATGGTGATATTGTTTAGTATGATATGCACCCTCCATAATGACACTATGCACGGACATTCATGAATATTCTCTCAGTGTCCTCAAAAAGACAAACAAAACAGTGTTGGGTTGAAGGGAGATATGACACAAATCGCCCAAAAAATGTCGCCAACTTTCCTACGTACAGGTTCACCGAAGCAAAATAAATTTTCTCTCCAGATAAAAAGTTTTAAAGAATATGCGAATAAAAAAAACGAAAAAGAAAAACAATAAAAGCTAGCAGATTCAAGCTTCCACCTACAATTTCCCAGCTGTTCGTTCTATACTAGCTACAGCAAGATCTAAATATATGCCACGTGATTTCTGATTTGCACCAGCTTTAAACTAATACAGCTACACCGTAGATGGAAACGACATTCCTCTATTCGAATTCAGGTATCTTCGAGAGTTGGCACATGCGATTTTGTGCATTTTGTGGAATAAGAAACAGAACAGAACCTTGGCTGAGCATGTTTTAAAATATGAATTGATGACTGTGCCAGAACAACAAATACTTACCAGCCATGGCAGGGTACAGCTCGTCCGAAAGAAGCGCCTCCTCCGGACTCAGGTCACAGGTGGCCTGGGTCATAACGATTACACTCGCTACACTGCCACAGTGGGACATTTGCAGTAAGGCTCGACATGTTTCAGCACAAACTAGACCCCGAGACACGGAGAAATGAAATCCTATTTCTCGGTGTCTCGGGGTTTACCTATACTCAATTTCACCTCCAAGAACTGTAGCTAAAAAAAAAAAGTACAGCTCCTTGTGGAGCATTCCTGAATTCCCCCTTTATGTAGAAAATTCAGATATATTTGGATGCATTTTAGACTAGACGTATGTTATCAAGACATACACGTTTCAAACGCCAAAAGCATCACTTCATCCTACGACAACCAAATCTCGTAAGAACTACTTCACGTGGCGTAAGGACAATATGCAAAACTTCTTTTTTTTTTTGAGGTGGAAAAGGGTAGAGTTTAAAATGTTTCCTAGCCAGCTCACCTGCATACTTCCACTTGTACACGTTGCACAAAATTACCGAAATCTGCTTGTCCTAGCGGGCGACGCGCGGCGTAGCCAACGGCGCACTCAATATCACTGCGTCAACGCAGCCCATCCTGCGCTACCTACGTCGTGCTCGGAGATTTGTTTGCTTGTTTTGCACTTTCTCAAGCAAAGCCTACAGGCAGTGCTAGCAGCACGTTCATTGTTGGCCCCGCGATTCGCAGAACGCGCATGCACTTGTGTGCTCCCATGCATTATCGCAAGCAGTGTCCGTCGTGTCCGGGAGAGCCAGTTTGCGACGTTGAGCGTGGCACACTTCAAAGTCGTTGCGACATATTTACGTGTGATTTACTGAACTTCACTTTCTACTAACATTTTAAAAACAAGCCCTTAGGAAAACTTTCCTTTTTCTGCACTAAAACACAAGCTGCGACCGCGGTAGTGCGGGCGTCGTCTGGTGTGGCCGAATTTCGACTGCAGCAGACAACACTTTTGCCCTTGCGCCGAGGTGCGCCACGCCGCCTGGTGCGTGACGTCACAATTTGTACCACATGGCTAGAGCATGTTGGTGACGACACAGAATAATGTTGCACGGAAAATATTACTTTTTTAGAAAGAAATGACGTAGAACCGTTTGTTACTACCTCAGGATACATAACTAATCAACCACGAGCTCAAGTCTCTTGGAATTGACTGGAGTTGCCCTTTAATGTTGGAAGTTAAGAAACAATATAGGGATACAAGCACGCCAGTTTAATGCAGACATTTTAAATCCATGTTTGGAAATTCATGGTGACTTTTTGCCTCCAAGCAAAACGTCCAATTCACTTCCACAAGTAGTTGGGAAGTCTTAGCACACGACTTAAGGAATTTCATTTTGATGCTTGTTAGTTGCTCCATTTCTCTACCAAAAGTAAGTTTTCATTGACTTTTCCACATATAGCAAAGTGAAGACTGACCGACTGTCTTTTGGGGGCATGAAAATAAACAATTTTATTATTATTTTTCAATCACTGGCACTGTCGTAATAGGGACATATATTAGGTTGTTTCTTTTTTTCCTCGGTTTTCATGCATTCAACGGTTAAGGCCCGTATGCAAACTTGCGACACCTTAGGACCGTGTGCCTTAAAACCACTTAAAATCTCTCGCGATGGGAGAACGCATCGTTGCCATCTACGCGGTGAGTTTGGAACTGCATTTCACCAGAGTGAATGTTTTGAGAGATAAAATGTAGCTGAGAGATTGCTGTTTATAATATGGATGATGGGTTTTTGAGATGAAAAAAAAATGATGCACGAAAGAAATAGGAAATATATGGGACTGCCATGTGTTCCAAGGCTAGCCGACAGGTGGCAGCAGTGTGTTCACTCGTAAGAGATTTACAAAGGTTTCAAGGCAGACGGTCCTGATCAAGCAGTCGGATTTGAGTGAACATGTCTTGACACCCATTTTATAACAACGGCTGCATTCGAGTGCTGATTCGTTCATAAATTTTTCTCTTCTTTTCTATGTGCCAGTTGCGAATGTTTTCTCTACCCTTATTCTGCAGACAATACTGTACCCGCGTTTTTCGTCGTTTGAAGTCCCCGGGACATTCCTCGGCATGCTAATAAACGTCTATTCGTCATCGTCGGGAATACCTGGTGACGGGCCAACGCAGCCACAGGGAAGCACTGTTGGCACAGTTCGCAAGGCAGGCCCCCCTCTCTTTCCTGCTCCGCAGGCTGCCCAGGTTCCAAAATGCAGCCCAACTGAAAAGGGGGTAGCGAAGAGAGCTTCTGGTGCATGCTCCGCATTCACAGGGACCCTTTTACAGCTTAGAAAGTCTTCGACTGGCGTGTTTAGCGTCCTCTCTTGCCCGTACACCAAAAGTGGCCCAAAAGGAGCAACAAATAGCATCACAAAAGCCGGAGTGTCGGGCTGTCGGAGGTTGCAATCCTGGTGGCTGGGCGTGAAACTCCCGACAAAAGTACACTAGACTCTCGTTAATTCAAACTCCAGGGAGCAGCAAATTCTGTCTGAATTATTAGAAGTTTGAATTATCAAAATTTATCTAAATATGGCGCAAGATAAAATTGTGATTTGCCATATGAATGGCTACACATACAAAGCAGATATATGATGCTTGCCTCCATATATGCCTACTGATCTAAGCAGGTATGCCACACAAAATACATTTGTGAAATGTATGACAAATTTATTTATCCCTCAAAAATGTTGTTTATCATGAACTGTTTAGACAGCACGTGACAACTCAAAACAAAATTAAGCGTGTTCACCGGGCCCAAGAAGTTATATGGACCACTAAGCGGGGGGCACATGTGCAATGAACATGGGCACTGCACGGCAGTTTTCATAGCAACTTGCACGGACACTGTTTTGTGGGCCTGTGCCATGCGTCCATGCACGTTGCTATAAGACGCTCACGTGAGACCTGCTTGAGCCGTTGAGTGTGCTACACCCCGAGCATCGGCGCACTGCGCAGAAGCAACATTCGCATAGGAAAGCTCTGGGAGCGTTGCCTCTCTGCAATGCACCGGTGCTCGGAAAGAAGCGCACTCAGCGGGGCTGCGAGAACAAGAAGTATGAAATACACAAAAGTGCTCTCCAAATTAAGCGCCTTATGAATACATTAAGAACATAGTGGGACAACCAAAATGTTTTAGTTTGTTTGAATTAACCAGTAGCATAAAAGATCAGAGTTTGAATTATTGCGAGCCTTGGAGTGTTGCCGTCGACCGTCAAGATGGAGAGCGACCTTCGGCAGAACAGGCGCTAGCCCCATTCCCCTCCATTGTTGCACCCCTGCCAGAATCGTGGCAGGCGACGGCACGACACTACTGCAATGTCATCAGGTGGAAATAGAGGGACCACAGTTAAGGTTGCGGTAAACACGCCACTAGGAGACACGTTCCAGGCACTATACCCATACTGGAGGTCTGTCTGCTGTTCGAAAGCTCCCAAACTTCCAAACATCGTGCTCGGACAGAAAAAAAACCCGCCACGGGTTCCTTTCTGTCCGAGCACTAAAGAAAGTACTAGAAAAGGCTCTCTATTATGGCGGAAGCGGACGAAGGAGTCGTGCGTGTCGGATGTGGGAATGTCGGCTGAGGAACGAGAAGCAAGCAACGGACACGCAAACAGCGTGTGTCGCTGGCACGAGAAACGCAGTTCAATTGACAAACCAAAGTGCTGCTTGACTGACCTGGTGCGAGTGAAGTTTGTGCATCGGCAACAACTTGTCGCAGATCTCACAGGGACCCATATCCACAAGCTGAAAAAAAAAAAAAATCATTGCAGGTAGAATGACAGGCAAGTCACCATCAAGTAAATGTATTCACCGAAGAAAAGACATCTCAATTAGATGAAGATGACGGGCATCGTTGACAACGAGACATTGTTGTCTTGTTGTCCTTTTTTTTTCAAAGTAATCCTGCTTATAATATGGAAAAGATAGCAATTTTATGTGGCTGGTAAGCCCAGGTGCCAAATAGATATGTCTAGTCTAATCATGTCATTTCCTGCAGCTTCAATGTTTCAAACGAAACAATGAAATTTGAACAGAAAGTTCTCATAATGTCAGCCCCGCAACCAAAGGAAAAGGACATGGGTCTATTCTGCGAAACTTGGTGCTGGAAAGCTCGCAGTACATTTGTCTAAGGTTGTGCGAATATTCAATAAGTAGTTTTAAATAATACGGCAGATATTCATATTCGCTTCGAAATGAACTGTGATATTCACATATTTTAAGTGTGATGGCAGCAGGTTAGCCCTGTTGAGCACACTTCGTATAGCCGGTTCACACAACGGACGGAATCACGATTTTTGTCCGATGACCGTGTACCATGTGACTTTCACGTCACTGATTCTTGCGATACACGCCTTGTTCGCTGACGTGCGGACTAATAAAGATGAGCACCTTTTAACTCGCGGATTTTTTAGGGAGATTGACTTGAAAAGCGTTTAGTCTGGCAACAATGTTATCTTTTTATTTTTTTATTTTAGATGATTAAAACAAAAATGGCACATCGTTGAGTTTTGTGCGTTTGCTGGTTCATTTTGTCGTACGATTCTTGGTTTCACGCATGAAAGGAATTGCAGAAACTTTGCCCGGCTGACGCGACACAAGTTACGGTACTCCCCCCAGTCCTGTGTCAAGAAGCTTCCGTCAAAACTTGTCTAGCACGCCGCAATAATTCTTGCACGTCCAATCAGCCTTTCACCGAGCAAGACCTTTCTTGTGGCTGTGGTGTATTTAAGTGTTGTGCACGAGTGCAGAGTGTGCGAAGGTATCTCCAAACGCCCCTCAGCGAGCCCAGAACTTTGTCTCTTCTATGCCAAAGCCTTCTTGAGCAGGACTATGCCTGTCATTGTCATGCCTTGGGTTAGTAAAGCTAGTGGCACTTTGCGGCTTTAGCTTTACGATTCTTTATCACGGAAGCACACGCTGATTTCTCTCTTGGACAAAGGTGTCACGGTGCGATGTTGGAGTTTCACGGCACTGTGAGGTAGCGAACGAATTCGGTTCGTCCTCGCTGGCGTCTGCTCGTTGTCTCCCTCGTGTGGATGCGCTTGGGAGACGGAAGAAGGACGGAGATGTCGTCACGTGATCAGTCCATTTGCGGATCAGTCCGTCGTGTGAATCGGCCATCACCGAGCACCAGTACACTGCGGAGAAGCCACAGCCGCAGAAGTGAGCTCCGCGGGTGTTGCTCCTCCGCAGTGCGTGAGTGCTTGCTAAGAAGCACACTCAACAGGGCTAACCCACCCCAAGATTTTGAAAAGTACAAATATTGTAGTCGCATGCATAGGGGAGAAGCACGCTTTCAAAGCGGGATGCTGCACGTCCATGCTCGTTGTATTTAAAACGAAACGGAAACTTTGTGAATGTTGATACCGGCATTGCAGTAAAATTTTCGAAATAAACTGGGGCTGTTATGCAAGACTACATGTTCTGTTAGGCAGAGATGCCCCGGCAATCATCATTCGTGTTTTTGTTTTAAATTCTAAATTGAAAAAGGATATTTGCATACAGCAAGATTTATAACTTCCCTCGATTAGGTATAGGTGGACATCTCTATAGGTTTAATTTTTTGTCAAATTCAATGTTACTTGCTATCCCAATGTAGGCATCAGACTTTCTGAGGCCATAGTTCATAAATGTAGTTGGAATAAAATTAGCTGGGGAATGGACAGGTTGAAACTTGGATAACCCTCAAGAGTTCAGCTGGGTTTTCTTAACACTTGGACAGTCGAGTTTTTTTTCCCAAAAGATGTTTCCCAGTTGTAGGGTTTTGCTTCCAAAGGGATAGGATATAAGGAAGGGGTCAATGCGCAGAATTTTCTTAATTATCCAGCAGAAGCACGTACAGTACTTGCAAAGTGTTCAGGTTTAGAAGCGTCGAACAGAAATACTGAAGGCAAAAAGTTGTCGCTTTTCTTCCATTTGGTTTTATTTAGTGATGGGCCAAACTTTTGCCAAATCGAAAGTTCGGCGCCAAATCTTGGGAAGCCAAACTTTTCTAAAGATTCGGCAAAAATACATTGTTACCAAACTTAACATTGATATTTAGTTTTTTCTGGCAGTTATTACTAAATAAGGTGATATTCTACAATATAATTGTATTGGTGTCGTTCTTGTGTGTTTACTGGCAATTTCAGTCGCTGCTTGCAGAAGTGGCCTGACAACGAGGTTGGGTAGTAGCGAGCGTCGCGCAGTCACGAATCACGCTACGAGCGTTTCGGTTTTGAGGCATCATCAGCGCAAGCCTGCAAGTGTGGGTACATTGTTAAAATGAAGGCAATAACGCAGCTTTCTTGCTTTCTCTGGGAGTCACCATTTTGTGCGCGAAAATGAGTGCAACGGTTGCTGAGCCTTCACCAGAAGAGATAACAATATTATTGTAAATATGCATGTTTTTCGGTTCGAGTCACTTGACGTAAGCTTTGCTTTTTTAACCTTTAAAATGCCGGTTTCCGGTGTTAGGACACAAACGGACGCAAGGGAAATGTGGAGTTAGGAATGACGGATGTGCAACGTCAAGCATTATAGTTCTGTGTTTAGCTTTATGCAGATACATGAAAGTCGCGAAATAACACTAACGAAAAAATATATTTTGTTTTTGGCACACACTACTAAGCCAAAAACAGAATTGTTATAATTGCGAGGAGTGTTTTAGAGTAATTGTCAGCCAATGTTTCAACTACCTCATTGCATCACTGAAAAGGTCAAATCACGTTATCCAGAATGTACCCTATCATTTGTCACTTGCGCAGTGGACTGTGTAAATTACTGGTCGATCTCCTCCTCTTGAGGCAGAAATTATTGAAGAGAACCACTCTTGCTCACAAACGCATAATTACCGTGTTGTTTCCTCCACACCTCGCCATAACAGTTGGTTGTACTACACTGCACGATGGTGACCGCACGACTGCACGGCGTCCATTTATTTCCAATCCATGGACCCGTTGCGTTCTCGCGCGTGCGCAGACATTTGCCGAATTTTTGCCGAACTTTTCTTCAAAAATTCAGCATTTGCCGAACTTTGCCGAATCTGAAGTTCGACAGATTCGGTCCATCACTAGTTTTATTTTGGCACATCAGCTTCCGAAACATTCCAGCAACTTCAGATTCTGAATCTGAGGTACTTTACACATCTGCTCTACCGAATGGTAAGCTCTGACTCTCTGAATTCGCCTCTGAGAAGTGTCAGAAGTCTGAATCGAAATAACCAGAGCTCCAATTGCCACTACAGTTGGAAAAGCCAACATGCAAAGCGATGACCTCGTGCGTGCCACGTGCATGTAGCATCTAATTGCAAAACTATGAATAGCCCCAGCAAAGCAAAACACCATGCAAATATAATGTTTATAGTTTACCGAAGACATGACAAATAGCAACAGTTCCCGCAGCGTGCGCCGTTTTGCATTTAGGCGCGCACTTTCAAATGTGTAATCACATCTGTACATGTAAGGTGCCGACCGTCAAAGGGTCAAGTATGGTGCAACTGTAGTGAAAGGCTTAGAGAAACAATTCAACATTCATTTAGAAAATATTCGACCCAAACCACTATTCACTTCGAATTCACTTTCAGCTCAAAATCACTATTTGCACATAGCGTGTATGACTACAAAATCGGGCAGTCCAGTGGAGCACAGCATGCAGTTATAGCTGCTCTCTCATGCCCTTTTGCTTTTCGATTAAATGTATTTTCACACAAGCAAAAAGTCTGAAGAGCACCCTACAGTATGACAGTATAACTTCCCAATTGATACTAAGAATGATCACTGCAAATCAAAGGCACTTATCATAAGTGCTTGGGGTTTGTTGTAAACAAAACAACTGAGCACCATTCACAACATTGGTCGCAGATGCAAGGACTCTGATTTTTAAAAAGCTCGATCCCTCCGTTAATTTTTTCAAAGTGATCCCTCGTTACCACCTTGAAAACGCTGGCTAATAAACCAAGAGACTAAGACATAACAAAGAGTCACAAAAACACAAACACAAGCTATATTCCGGTGAGAAAGCTTAGCAAGTGTTTGCAGGGTCAAAGTGGGCAAGGCACCTGTTCTTGAGGACTTTCGGGTGGTAGCGGTTCTGGAGAATAATCTTCCCTCCTCTGCTGCATTGGGCCACAGCCAGACTGCAGTAAAGGACGTGCAAAACAGTGAGCCACTCAAAACATGCCAGTCAACCTGAAGAGACCCCCAATCATAAGGTCTACTCTCATTCCTATTCTTCCACCTTTCCTCACAAGCATATTAACAAGATCATTTCAGAGGCACAGCATGTAAACAAAGTGTACCACAAACATAAACTCATGTCTTAGCAAGAGCTACTTTTGGTTCAAGTATAAGAAAACACTAAAGAGCCTCATAGGAAGCTATTGCCAGACTGGATGAGAGAGCTGTAGCATTAGCTTGTAGCGGACAAAAAAGAAACGCAGCCACACAAAATGAAGATTGGGGTAAAGCTGATGCATTACGTTTTGCATGCGCCGGCCCGCATTCGGCACGCGCTGTCCAATCGTAAAGATCGGCATTGTCACATAATTTCCCCTCCAGAGACGGAGTCGCTCCAGCAAACTTATTTCCGTTCAAACCAATGATGAGGACATGGAATCGTTTGCTTAGATGAGGGCGGCGCCTTCACTTGGACACGCATTGTTTAATGTTGCTCTATGTAGACCAGTTTGAGACGGTCCGTCGAAACCACTTCATATTGCCCATTAACCTTAATAGTGAAAGTTCTCTCGTTTCTCGCGAGTACAGTAGGTTCGCGATAATTCAAACTCTGATATTTCTAACTTTTAGTTAATTCAAGCAAATTTTAAAATTTTGGTTGTCCCATTATGTTTTTAATGTATGCATAAGCCACTTAATTCGAATGGCGATTTCGTGTAATCCATACTTTTTGTTCTCCCAGCCTCGTTGAGTGCACATCTTTCCAAGCTCCGGTGCAATGCAGAGAGGCAGCACCTGCGAAGCTTGCTTCCCAGGGTGTTGCTTTTCTGCAGTGCACCAATGTTTGCTGAGAAGCGCACCCAACGGGGCTCAAGCAGGGCATCATGAGCTAAGAAAATCTGGGCACCATGCAGAACTGCCCATAGCTACTCGCGCGGGCACTGTGATGTGGCAACATGGAATAGGTCCACGTCACAGCATCCGCACAAACTCCTATGATAACTGCCGCACGATGCACGTTTTTCATCGCTCATATGTCCTCTGCTTAATAGTTCACATTAGACAACTTCTTGACCTGATTAACAAACTTGTTTTGAGTTGTCATGTGCTGTCGAAACAGTTAAAAATAAACAACATTTTTGAAGGATAAATAAACTTGCCCTACATTTCACAAATGTTTGTTGTGTGGCATACCTGCTTATGATCAGAAGGCCTATGTAGAGGAAATCATCAAACATCTGCTTTGTATGTGTAGCCATTCATATGGCAAATCACAATTTTATCTTGCATTATATTTAGATGAATTTCTGTTAGTTCAAACTTCCGATAATTCAAACAAAATTCATGGCTTTCTGAAGTTTGAATTAATGACAGTTTACAGTACATGATGTGGACCGGTATTCGGTGGCTGGAAGGGGCATCAAAACAAATCTGCTCTAAGAATAAAGTGTGTGGTGTCCTGAAAGTCTTTGGTGATGAAAGGTTTAGTGGTTGCTTTGGAACGAGTGGGTGCTGGGGGAATGTTTGAAGATCTTCTCTAGTCGCTTGACATAGGTATGTATCGGTTTTGGGAAGCACTGTTGCAGCGGCCAAAGGTGCTGCCGACTTGGCTGGCAAGCAGAGCGAAGTGCTACATATGAGCTGGGCTGGAGAACAAACGAGGTCATCTTCGACGGCCACACGAACGCCAAGGACAATCGGAAGAATCTCCAACCATCAGATGGGCTCTCGGTGGGCCATAAGTTAGGGCTTCAGTTGGCGGCAATATCTCTCGACGAGACCATTGGGTTGAGGATGGTAGGAAGTCATACATATATGCGTCATTCCCAGCAGCTCGGAGAGACGTTGGAGAGTGCCGATCCGAACTGTCGGCCCCTGTCCGTGGTAACCTCGACGAGTGTTCTGAAGCATGCAACCCGCGTGCCGACAAAAGAGGATGCGACAGTTTCAGCCGTGATGTCTTGAATGGGCTCGCTTCCGGCCAGTGGTGAACCAATCAACAACAATAACGAGGTATCGGTACCCTTTGCACGATGATAGAGGTCCGATGATGTCGATGTGAACCTTCTCAAAACAGTGGTCGGGAGAGATGAACTTGGTAAGGGGAATTGCACTGTGTTGGTTTATTTTAAGCACTGGCACGACAAACACTCTCGAGCCCATTTTCGAAAGTCGATGTTCATGTTCGGCCAGACATAGTGCTCTGCAACAAGAAGCTTGAAATCCGGAGCAAGAGAATGAAGCCAAAAACTCGACGGCATAGTGCTGCAGGGACAAGTGGGTGTTGCCTGTCGGTAAAAGTGTCGCATACGACGGTGACACCTGTCGAGGAATCAGGAAAGTCTGTGAGCTGTAGAGACGTTCATGACCTGAGCAAGTGCCAGAGCTCTTTGTCCTGCTCTTGCAGCCTGGCTCCCCGAGAGAAATCTGGTAGGTGTAGTGATGCGACGAGACTTAGTGGGTCTGCAGGGATGTTCTGGGCTACTGTGACATGCCATACCCTTGTAAAAAAAATTCACCCTTAAAAGCAAGGTGTCTGACCTTTCTTGGAGAATATCCAGTTCTGGTAGTCTGGCAAGCATGTGTCAAGGGCTTGTGGTCCATGAAGATTACGAATTTGCGTCCTTCTAAGAAGTAACAGAAGTGCTTCACACCCAGTTAGGTTGCTAGTAGCTCCTGACCGAAGGCACTGTAGCATTTCTCGATGTCGGTCATTAGGGAGTTTTAGAATAGCGCACGCTAAAGCTTTGCGTACGCAAAGAATAGCGTCGTCGCCACTGCGCATGCTCCGAACGCAAACCAGGTTTTGCGCTTTGCATGCGCAATTTTAGCGCGCGCTATTTCTCGGAAATAGCGTGCGTACGCAAAGAGTCTTTGCGCTTCTCCAAGGAGGATTCGTGATGGGAAGTTGGCTAAAGCCAAGACGAGCACAGTTGAAAAAAATGGCGGCTTCCAGGATTATGTCGGCGGCTGCTTTGGCGGCGTCGTGAGTGCGACGTCGGCGGCATCCTCGCGACTGCAATTTTCAATACAGGACGACATTGTACTCGGTTTGGCAGCGATCACCGGCAACTTGATGCTTGCAACGCGCGAACATTTCACGGCGAAGGAACGATGTGCGAAGGTCAGTACACGAGACCTCTCTTGCCGAGGCGACACAAGCGGACACGACCGGTCAACCGCTCGCGTCGTGTTCTCATGTTTAAACAAATTAAAATACTACTCTGGACCAAAAAACTCGTTTTCTTTTAAAGTTACATCATTTCGTGCGTTAAATAAAAATTTGACTATCTTGGTGGCGTCGCAAGCGCGAGATGCTTAGGCTTTTGCGTCGCGGCGGAGAAACGCTATTCTAAAACTCCCCTGCGTCGCGTGCGCTAATACAATAGCGCTAGCGTGCGCTAAAATTGCGTACGTTATTCTAAAACTCCCTAGTATCCTCAAGAAGACCCCGAGTGGTTTCCATGCTCCACCAAGTTACTGTTGGACCACAGCTTCAACGGAGACTCCCGAGACGTCTACCATGCCTGCTTGTGAAAGCACCATGCTGTGGATGTTCCAACAGAACTAAATCAGCTAAAGCGGTCTTGGCAGCTCTGAACAAGTCGTCAGCCTCGAGTCCACGAAAATGCAGCTGTCTAAGAGTTGTATTGCTTAAAAATGTCTTCAAAAGATCCAAGGATGGTGGCACAATCTACCGTATTTACTCACACAATGAACGCACTCGCGTAATGAACGCACCCCCCAAGTTGGCTCTCAAAGTTTGGACTTTTTTTTTTCACTCGCATCCCCAACTGTGACGTCAAAATTTTGATCCCCCCCCCCCCGCCCCCCCCGCACGAAATGAATGCACTTTTCCATCCTGGTGCAGCGAGGTCGCGAATGCATGGGCAGCGTGGGCGAACAAAGCGCCTTGCAAAAGGCGTCAAAAAAATTAAAAAAGATCCAACAGAAGCAAGAAAGAAAAAACATGGAGAGGAGCTTTTTTTTTTTTTTTTTTTTTCACAGCCCAGTTTGGATTTTGGGTAGGGGGCACCACACGCCAGGAGATAAGAAAGAGAAGCGGAGAAGCCCTCGCCTAAGCAAAGCGTGCATAATGAAGGCATCCTGCCCTCGCCTCCTCCTCGCACTTTGGAAAGAGAAGCGGGAAGCCCTTGAAATGAACGCACTTTTCCATCCTGGTGCAGCGAGGTCGCGAATGCATGGGCAGCGTGGGCAAACAAAACAACTTGCGAAAGGCAGGGGAAAAAACAAAAAAAACCGAAGCAAGAAAAAATATCATGAAGAGCATTTTATTTTTTTTTGTACATCGCAGTTTGGTTTTGGAGTCGCGCGCCGTGTGCAAAGAGATGAGAAGTTACGTCGATTTTAGGAATAAAAGGTCCATTCATTATGCAAATTTTACTTCGCATAATGAACGCCCCCCCCCCCCCCCAACTTTGCATAGATTTTTCAGAAAAAAAAAAAGTGCGTTCATTGTAGTACAAAGCGTTGGTAAAAGTTTACCAAACCCAAGGAAACGATGTCAATCTCTGGAAGGTTTGTGTGGAATTTCTCAGCCCAAATGGAACACGAGCGAACTCAAGCAGGTAAAATTTCGTCGTGACAGTGGTCTGCGAGATGTCCTTCCTTTGTGGCTGCAGCAATTTGATGATATGCCTTTGCGAGGTCTATCTTTAAAATGATGGTGGATCTTCTAAGGTTGACAGTGAAGTCTCGAATGCTGGGTAGGGGGTAGCGGTCGGGGAGTGTGGCCAGGTTCAGTGCACGGTAGTCTTTGCGAGGCCTCCAGTCGCCGGCTGTCTTTGGATGCAAGTGTAGTGGCATGGACTCAAGGACGGTCAAACAACCCCCTCTCCAACATGTGTTCAAAGTCTTGCCTGCCGATCTGGAGCTTTTCGGGAGATAGCCGCTGGGGAACGGCATGCGTCGGCTGGCCGCGGGTGATGATGCGATGCACCACTTTGCGTGTCGCAGGCTCAGTCCAATCAGAGGACGTAGCCAGAGTCGGGAATTCTCTTTCTAAGCTTGCACACGGCATTCCACCGTAAAAGCGAAGGATGAAATTCTCGAGAGCTTACTGGTCACGGAGAGTCTGGTGGTAGGATCGACGGGGTTTCTGGTGTGCCTGTCAACCAAGAGTGTGAAGTGGGATAGAAAGTTTACACCTAGAATAGCGTGACTAGCTGATGCAACAACAGAACAAAACGTACGCTGGACACCCAGTTCGACAGTGAGGGATCTTCGCCTGCAAGACAAGGATGCTGCTGTCGTTCACTGCACGTAGGTAGCAGATGGGTGGGGGCAAAGCCCTTGTCAGCGGAACGTGCAGGAAGAATGCAGACTTCCGCTCCTTTGTCAACAAGGAATTCAAAGTCTGAAAGTCTGCCTTTTTAGGAAAAACATGTGACTGCCGGTGGGTTTCGGAGGAGCACTCGTAATCACTAGTGTTCCCCGCTCTTGTTTCCCGACCAACCATAAGGCTGCGTTCAGGGCTTTGCTCTCGAACCGAATTTGTGGTGACACGAGCAAGATTGGGTGCTCCTTGAAGAACGTAGCTGCAAAAGTGGTGCACGACTTGAGGGTCGAGCAGGGTGGGAGGAGTGTCCATGAAGAGAATGCTGTGATTGGTCGGTCAGTGAGTTGATGATGAGGATGGATAGGCTCTTGAAATAATCGCACAGGGTTAGCATTTCTTCACACGAGGCAAATTTTTGACGCTGGCTTTCGGGAGGAGACAGTTAACAAAAGTCACGTGGCTGTGCAACTTTTTTTTTTTTTTTTTAATCAATGTATTTGCTGTTTTTTAGAAGCCGCAAGAAATAGGTATGATATTTATTTTCTATTTTTACCATTGAGTGGATGACTAATAGCTTCAATTATATTTGGTGGTTGTGTCTAAATCATAGAAAACGGTACGGGACCACAAAGAAGAGAGTGAGCGTGACTCAAACCGGCCAATTCTCGATCAGCATTTTTCCGGGGGAAAGAAAACAAATTTCGAGCCTCAGATTGTTCTTTGGGTAGTTGGGCTCTCATATGTCATGTACAAATAAAAACCTTGGCGAGCAAAAATACCCTGTCAGTGTCTCTTTAAGTAAGCAAAGCCCGATTCAGTAGAAAAGTAACCAAAGTCACAGGGTTATCGAACCAAATTTGGACAAAGAGGAAACAATACTGGGGCTGTACGTCACAAAACAACTAAGGCTGTGAGCCACATAACCAACCAATCTTGTAGTGGGGAAGATCTGTCTCTAACTCTTGAAGCTCGTCGAAGAAACAACACACCGCCAACATCTTGAAGGAACCGAAAGCTGAAAGAAATTAGTGGATTTTTTTCCATGTTTGACTCAAGTAAACTCTGCTTTGAGACACTGGGTTAACCAATGTCACAGCAAGTCCCGTCTGTTGTTTTTACTTTACTTTAAAAAAAAAAAAAATGGGACGTGCTTTGAACATCCATACAACTGGCATATCTACTGCACCTTTACTCTGCTACATCAATTTGCAGCTGGTAACATCACAATAGTGTAACACTGCAGACTACCACAACCCTCACGACAGCACGGTGGCAAATGTAGATACATAGCTGTAGCTTGCACTGCCACTAGCAAATTAACAAAAACTCCAGAAGCCGCAAACTAGGACACACCAACGACAGCATGGCCTGTGCCTGTTCAGCATCTCCACCGAAGCTTCTACAACTACTTGCCGGGTCTGCAGCAGCCCATATCATTCCTTCAGCGACACTGACGCGTGGGTGGCGCAGGATGCTAAACATGGCAATAGCAGATGTGCCTGGAACATGTTTTGGACAGCATTCTTCAAGGGAAGGGACAACACAAATTGCAGGTGTCGTCTAAACAGTTTGCAGATTTATTGGCGACTGACAATGTGTCCTTTTCCACAGGGCGTGTCATTGAGAATGTGTATCGCCAGAGGTCCCAGCAAGGGGGAGGACAGTGCCCACCTGATGTAAAATGAGGTCCTCCATGGGGCAGAGCAGAGAGCAAAACTCGCAAGGCAGCTGCACTTCCTCCGGGGGGTACGGATCTGGCACGGAGCTGGGAATGTGATGGGAAATGCAGCAAGACCTACGCTTGGTGGGAATGCCGAGTTAGAGTGTACTGTATGCCAAGTTTAGCCCACTGGAAGCTTTCGTGAAACTTTACTTTCCCTGCCAATCTAATGCACTCCTCACATGCCTGACAAAAAGCTGCAAAACCGGGTAAAGCCGTTCACAGCGCAGCAGGACAGCTTCAAGCCCAAGAAGCTAGCGAGGAGAGATGGAGGCACTCGAGCCAATCTCCGCACCTGGACTCTGAGCTTGCCCTGGAGAGGAGCTCTGGTGGGGGGAGCCACAGCTGGTCGTAAGCATCGTCGTCTCCGTCCGGTCCGGAAATGTCCAGGATGTCCAGCTGCTCCGACACATGGTCCGCATCGTCTGTAAAGTGAACTCAAGATTCCGGCATGCAGAAATGAGCCCGGCTGCTGGGTGCCAGCTTTTGGGTCAGCCATCCATTTCTTTTTAAAGGTACCACAAAATTATTCCTTCACTCTGCCTGAATAGTGCCCAGAACAGACACTTCCCATTAAAAAAACGTGGAACGAGCATCAGTCTCTGCTCATGCGTAAGGTGGTGCCACCTCAGATTGAAACAAACAAGTAAAAACTCATTCCTCGGCTACATATAATCTGTGCAGCTGGGCTTGGTTGAATCCAGAGGCCACAAGTCTCGGAAGTAGCAAAAGAGGGGCAGGAAACAAATGCCGCCCAGTAGCCACTCTGGTGGGCCATTCCACGAGGATGTCCCATTAGCCCAATTCAGTACAAAGGTAACTAAAGTCACAGGGTTATCGAACCATATTTGGAAGAAACGAAAACAATATTGGGGCAAAGCAACTGAGGTTGTAAGCCACATAACCAACCAAACTTAAACAAGGCTGTTGCCCCATCGACAAGTTTGTGGCTCGTTTCAGACAGGGAAATTTTCCCAGCTATTTCAGGGCTGCTGGTGAGTTGTTCCCTAGCTTTCCCTAGATCCTCGCACTGCAACATGAATTGCTGGGATAGAGTCTGGCCCGAAACGGGAGAGCAACTCAGACAACTCGGAGACATTTGAAGCAGCAGTGGCCAATCAGGGACGCTATATTGTCAAGTGACATCCCTGTGATAGCGGTGATGACAACAACAGGCGGGGTTTAACTTGGTTCTGGTTTGAAATGGACAGTTTTTGGAAATAAATAATTTCAGAAAGTTAGTATTCTCAATGCCGTTTAGATATAAGAATATATATTTCTGGCGCATAACTGTGTTTAAATAGTGCAAGAAAATAATAATTAATGATGATAATGTTGAATCGTAGCAATCCGGTTGCTGCGTGTGAGCACAAGGGGCTCATGTTGCTGATGTTGCAACATCAGGTTGCTGGGAGAAATTTCCGCGTCTGAAGCGAGCCCTAGAAACCTATCGCAAGCGAAAGAGCACATTTAGCTGTCCGACTAGGTGCGGCATCTAAATGTTGGCGGGGCTTTCAAATTAAACTGAAACCCAACCAGCTCAATTGCTTTCAAAACTCACTTTGCAGTTTATGTATATGCTATCGAAAACGTTGCATATCAGTAAGCTATGCTGAAGGCACTGCCCCTGACTTCTGGCAAGAGGAGATTAGCATGACATCAATTTACTTTTTAAGTTCTGCCAGACATTACAGGATAGCAGTCTTTCTATTGCCACGTTCAGTCACTCTACTGAAGGCCTGCACCGCCAGAATGCTTTAACAAGCGAAACGCTTGGACGGGACAACAGAACTGGACACACCGGGCAGGGGACACTGATGCTGCCTGTCCCGAAGCATAACCAGGCGCCCACAGCCGGAGCACTCCTGAGTACGGCTGCCGCAGTACTCCAAGTGATCCGGCATGGTGTCGCTCGGACAGGACAGCTCACAAAACTCGCAGGTCACCAGCCGCTTGGCACAGTCATTCTCCTAAGACGAATGACGAAAAGAACATTTCTAGCACAGGGCATGGGCAAACACCAGGAGCCCGCATATAATGAACCTGGAAATGAAGTTAAAAAAAATATAACTCCAACCAAATCTTGAGAGGAAACTCAACGTTTTTGCAAACAGCTCGCTTTCTTTTTCAGGTGTGACCAAAAGCATGCAGAGCAGCATATAAAAAAAAAAAAATTAAAATTAAGAAAAGATTTTTTAATTTTTTTATGGAGATGGTCATCTCTTCAGCTTTACCGTCAGGTCCCAGAGATCACATGCATACACCGACGGCAAGGCATTCAGGTACCTTGTTAGGTTTCCTTGCATGTGCTGGATTTGCCATGACTCCAAGAAAAGCCTTGTTTGGATATTTGGCTGTGTCAATCCCGTGCGCGTTCACGAAGTCGATGTGATAGTCTAGGTAGGTGTATATCGCAGTGTTTGGCAATGGCACTGTGCTCACTGTCGAACTTCCGCACACCATCCTTGTATTGGTGGATTTGCTTCGGAAAGCTCTTTGTCTCGAGAATATAGGTTGCGGGGTACTCTGCACATGGAATCATGTAAACCACACTCTGTGCGCCTTCTTTCTGGGGGCCCACAAGCCCGTGTCCACACCGGGAAGGTTCATGCACAGACTCAAAGATTGTTTACAAGAATAAAGAGCACAGGGCGTGGCACACATGATTCCATGTACAGAGTTCCCCGCAACCTGCATCGGCGAGACGAAGAACTTTCTTGAGCGAATCCATCGACAGAAGGACGTACGAAAGTTCAGACAGTGAGCGCAGCACCATCGCCTAACACTGCGATACCTCAGACCATCACATCGACTTCGCAAACACACACGTGATTGACACAAAGCAAAGTATCCGAAAAGGCTTTTCTTGAGGTCATGGCAAATCTAGCACACACCAGGAAACCTAAACAGATCCCTCGGCACCTTGCCCTCTGTGTACGCACATGGTCTCCATGACCCGCCGAGAAAACTAGAAAAATGACTGTCTCCATAAAATTTAAAAAAAAAAATGTTTTTCTTATTTTTTATTTATGACGACGAGGTTAGGAGTTGCTACTGCTCCATGCACTTTCAGCCACCTCCGAAAAAAGATACCGAGCTGGTTTCGAAACGTCGGGTTTCCTTTCAAGATATGGTTGGAGCTATATTTTTTTTTGGACCTTAATTCTAACCCAATCAGGCAGATTTTTGTCAGATATGTTTATTTTCAAACCTGGAAATAGCAGGTCACTGCGCCCCTCTCAAAGGTCATGTGACACTCATCCTGTACTGGACTGGCTATGCAAACAAACACAGCTCATTTTGTTGCATTGGAACACATAAAAATACAGTCCGTTTAGGGAAATGTGTTGCAACGTCCCATACTTCCAGACCTTGGGGCTAAGGGGTTCAGGGCTTGTACAAGCATGCAGAACCTACCTTGTGCTCAGACAAGCGTTGCAGCTCCACACAGCACTTGCAGTCTGGGCAGCGTGTTGGGGCATGCGTCCTTCTGTGCTCCTCTAAACCTGACCGAGGAACAGGGCTGGAGCACTCCGGGCACAGCACTATATTCCTCTGGCAGTGCACGCTGTGCACTAGGAAGTTGGGGGCCGTCACCAGGCGCTGGCTGGGGGGGCACGAGGACAGAAGAACCACCGACATAGTACGATACGGCTGTTGGGAATGCAAAAATTAGTAAACGGAATTTTTTGTTTTTATAAACTAGTAGGTTTGGTTAGGTCGAAAACCATATTTACTACTCATCATCGCACGAATGCAGGCCAATGAGGCATATGACAACCAGCATCATGGCCTCTCCATGTGTTCCGCCGGCCTTCCTGACGCATCACGGCTTTATCAGGTATAAGAAAGGTCTCCACTAGCATACAAGTATCCCCACCTGGTTTGAGCTAATCGCCAGTCCTTTAGTGGAGGTTCCCTGATGCACTTTGTGGCACCAATACATAAACTGCCCAAACTTCAAAACTTCCACAAGATGGCTCATGCTATGCATTGTTAGGGCAACCGGTGTTCACTGCAGTTTGGCAATATTGCCTTTCGTCTGTCATTTAAAACCTTTGTTGCACTTAAAACAGAGGTTTGCTTCACTTGTGTACTTTCTATCTGAAAAATAAAAGGATCCCTGTAGCAGTTCCAGCATTAATTGGTGGACAGAAAGCTAGATGACGATCACAACCAGGAGTGTGAGGTACAGACTCATTGTAGTACTGTAGTCACACTGTGTAGATCAGGGGTGGCCAAACCGCGGCTCGCGAGCCGCATGCGGCTCTTTGCTGGTCACGGTGCGCTCGCGGATCCCTCGTAAAAGTACCCGACCCCCCCCCCCCCCCCCTCCGCCCCTTTCCGCATTTCCCCAGGAAAGAAGAAAAGGATTTCAGAATAAAGAACAGCTTGCGGTTTGGCAGCCTTCTGCCCCGATACGTACAGTTGAACCGCTTTTCACTCGCATGTTTCAACAGATCATGTTTCTTTCATTGTTCGAGAGAGTTTGCCGGACCCACCCTATACTCTGTTTCATACTTAGCATGCAACGCAGTCAAAGCTACTGGCGCGAGCGCGTGGCTTCATCTATGGTTTTGTTTGCGCGAGAATGCGTGCGAATGACCAATGAGATCAAGCCCCATACTCGTGCCAGTAGCTTTGACAGCGTTGCACACTAAGTATGAAACAGAGTATAGGAGGAAAGGCATCAAGAACAGGGACTCTCAAAAGATGCATGCACTTTGGCTTCGGGTCGAGGAAATGTTCTGTCTCGCAGCCTTTGGCACTCGCCGCTGATGCTAGTCCCCTTTAGGTAACAAATGTTCCCTCCATATCGTTTCTTGCTGACGGTCGAGAAAGCCAGGGTTTACCTCATTCATAGCTTCCACTAGTCACAGACGTTATGTTCAAGCTCACAAAAGACCGGGAACATTCTCAATGTTATTTTTACCGGCTTGCAGTTGTGACCCGCAAGCTGCTTTTTTATGCTTTGGGGGGTGGCGCTAATTAGGCAGCTGTTTTTGTTTTGCGCCCTCCCCCCCATTTCGGCGGCTCTTAGATGTTTCGTGGTTTCCTTTGCGGCTCGTAGGCCGGGTCAGCCTGGCCACCCCTGGTATAGATGTACAGCTCTCATTACGTGCACTGTGCCAGGCACAGTGTGCAGACAACACAGTGTTGATCTGCTCGCTGCACCTTTTGCAAAGTGGCACGACAGGTTACATTCATCGCTAACTCGGTCGTCTGTGAACATTTTTGCCATTGACTTTGGCAAGTTTGTTTGTCTCATCTTTTACAGGAAAAGAATACCGCCTTGAAATTTCACATGATAAAACTGACCACTTCAGTGCATACACATTCGGTATGTGAAGGCCCCAATTTTTTTTCGGCTTGTTTTATGCGTAAGATCCACTGTAGCCACCCTACATTTGCCCTTGCAGTCACAATATTGTTGATATGACATCACAGAAGAGGTGTGCACTTTCTTCAGGAGAATCACCAACATATGGGTTTGGCTAGTGGACGAAGTAACTCTGTCCATAAAGAATTAGCTCGTTTGTGAAAAGGTAGTGGCTCATAGACATGAGAAGCACAGAACATGCAGGCAGTGGCAGATTCAGAGGGGGTGTAAAATTTCAGGGCGATAAAAGGAAGGAGTGAAGGGGGGGAGGGGGTCTTAAAACATTTGATATACTGACCCCCTTGTGAGCACTGCACATGTGCAGGAACCACTTTTTTGAAGCGCCTGGCACGTGCGCCACCGCCACACTAAAGAAGCATGACTGGGTAAATAGGTGGGCGTTACCCTCCTCGTCCCTGTGTATGGTTTCGTTTCTTTTAATAAGGTTACTAAGCACCGCATACATGATCCTTTGATGCTCTGCTAATTTGTTTGCCTTCTGCTGAAGCTGCAGTCGAGGATAACATGTGCGAGGCTCAGTAATGTGCCATTGCAATCCCAGTTTCTTGCAGGTGCCGTAAAATCTACGAACGGCATTACTAGGACTCGAAAGATTCAAACCGGAACGCTGAGACGTCCGAACGCCGGCAACACAGCTCACCAATTTTGACACAGTTTCTCTTCTGTCGGCATCTCCTGCTCCGGCTGGCTCCTATTTGACATCCTGCGGGAAAATTCGGTGGCACCTTAACAAAATAAGTCCAACTCAAATCGCCAGAAGCACCGAGGTTCCCACACAACTGTACTCAAGTTGAAGTTGCTCAAGTCAGCTGAGAAAAGTTGTGTAAAGACAGACGAGTGGATAAATGTTAATGGCTATACCCTTCGTAATAGGTGGTAGCTTGCGCCATCTAGCTTAAGTGTAAAAGTACAAACAACTACCGTTAGGCAGTGTGCGATCATAGAGTTATTATAATGTACGCTAGAGGTTCAACTGGCGCTAGTGTCTATGCGACTTCCGGGAGGCAAATTGAAGCAGACAGCAACCAGTCTACTTTTGCGGTGCTCCTGTGCATTCCTATGGGAAAACGCACGTGCATTTTGCCTCTTCGCCGGAAAACAACATGAATAAGTTTTGTTATTTCTTTCGTACCGAATAGTGTATACCTTTATTGGTATTGTGAAAGTGTAATTGCTTTAATTACAGCATTTTTCTTTACCGCTGAACGATGTTAAACTTCGTTATATTTCAGGCCCAAACCTCTGTTCCACGGCAGGTACGTAAAAACGAGCGACGATTCTAAGCAAAATAACGATCGAAAGGAATGCAGAGTGTGTTCAAGCTTCGCTAGCATTCCGGTGGCGCTTATATATTGCTGACATGCCCGTCCTGTCCTTATATGAAAATGACTCCGTCGTGCGCATCTTTACGATCAATTAAAAAACATTTGAACATAAAAAATAAAGTACGTTGGCCACAAAAGGTGTGTCTTTTTATTATTTCCTATGTAGGACAGCTTTTTTTTCGGGCACCTGTTCTCTGGCTTCTCCCTATTCGGAAATATTTGGAGCGTGCGGGTGATGCTTTGAACCCAGAACAAGCATATTCGCACATGAGTAGAAAGAATAAAGCAGTACTTATTTAATGGAAGTCGGACTATATTACGTGGCTTTAAATTAATTTTGATCGTCTGCATGCACAATGAGTTACTTATCCAGTGTTACTGCGAAGTTCTTGCCGTCTCTTTTGGTTTTCCAGGTGTCCTTCGTTCGTTTGACACGTATATCCCCGATACTAGAAAGCGCCGTCGCCGTGTTCGCGCTAACTGTGTCCGACAGTGCACATAAATACACGTACGAAGCGGTTTTAGCACCGTTTTTCAGGTCACGAATTGAAAATAAAAACGCCGTAAGTGACCAATTATTTTGCCTGCGTGAATGAGAAATGTTCCAATGTGCCTAGTACGTACGAATTATTCGTGATATTTGCCCTTATAATCGAGCGCAGAGAGAAAATGCACTCGCTTTTTCCCATAAAAATGCATTACCGGAAGTCAATTTCGGACTGGTTGCTGTCTGCTTCAATTTGCAGCAGCACACTAGCGCCAGTTGAACCTCTAGCGTACATTATAATAACTCTATGTGTGCGATATCACCAGGATGACCTTCGGGGCAACGTTACTGGAGCAAGCACAGTTTCGAAGCACCCTATTTTCGGGCAGCTGGTGTCTCTTCCTACTAGAATCACTGCTACAACTCCAAACGTATTAGATCTAGGGGTGTCGCGAACTTTTGTCGAACCAGATTTTTAGGTTGAACTTTCGGGGTTCGACTGGGTCGAACCGGTTCGACGAACCTTCGACCTTTTCACCAGATTCGACCGGTTCGACTTGTGGACACTGTGGCCAGACCTTAAAGCAAGCATGTCTAGGTTTGGAGACTATTTTTTTGTATGCAATGGGTTATTTTGTTTTATAAACAGTTGCAATGAAAAGAAATCAATTCTTATCACTGAAGACGTTAATAACTTAATTTTTTTGTACTGAATTAACTGAAAGAGCCAATCAGCGCTGCCCTTGATTCATCCCTTAGCCATCACCATCCAATCCCAAGCCAACTGGCCTGCCTGTCGCGCATGCGCACACGAGTCGAACCTCAATACAAGGTTCGCCGAACGTTTCACTAAAAGTTCGAAAAAGTCGAACCTGGTCGAACTCGAACCGCGGCCGGTTCGCGACACCCCTAATTAGATCTCATCTTGTCAACTTCACCTGAACTTATTTCTTCTGTTACTTTCATGCCGGCTCTTAACGCTTATTTAAACCACTTTTCTGAAAGTTCTTTAGTATTAATTTGGAGATTGTTTAAAGGGGCCCTGCAATCATATTTAAGCGTCTACCTTTTATGCGGTTTCCACGTCTCTTGGGGTTCGGGCAAGCCAGCGGGCACGGAGAGAGTAACTATATATCAGTGCGCCACATTTTAACCGGACGACACGGAAACCTCCTCCACCGACGAGGGCGACCCGCGGTACCGAAAGCGCGCAAAATATGACGTCTTTGGTCGTGGGCTTACTACTGGTCAGAGCCACTAAAAACTTCTTTTAGGTCGAAATACAAAATATAAGTGGCGCGAACCGTTTCAATTATTTATAAAAGTAGTTTTTGTTCACTATTATAGATGAAAAAAAGAAAGAAATGCAGTTTATAAAGTACGAAAACAAGAAATGACCCTCCGACATACCCGCCGCCAAGCGGTGGAAAAGGCGGCGCATACTAGAAAGGAGTAGTGGGATAAGGCGCCGACACGGAAAAATTCCGGATGTACGCGGTGGCGCTGCAGTCGTATGGACAGGAGGATCCGACCGGCTCCGAGCGTTCCGAAGGCCTTCGGCGAGAGGCTTTGTCTTGCGGTTTGGCCGTTTTGCGCTATGGCAGAGCGAAGTGGCTCCCATTCTGAACTGATCTTTACCCCGTGTTTGCTGTCGTTTTTGGCCAATGAAGTGTCCTGCCGAATTAGTGCTTAATCGCGCAGCAAACGCAATGAAAGCCGCTTTGGCTGCCCGCTGCATACAGCCTATCCAGAACATGCTTTAGTGGCGCCCTCTGGCGCCGTCGACACGGAGTGCGGCGGCCGTGAGCGCTCGATGAGCTCACTATTCCTCCTCTAGTTCACGGCCACTCAAGCCAGGACCTATGACGTCATGAAGGAGGTTATTTTTTGCTTGTTTTTGTAATTCAAAATTGCCTATAACTTTTAAAATAAAGCGAATTTCGCGAAAAGAAGAGTTTCACTAAGTTACTACGTTCAGTGCGCTCATGTTCGGTGCAAATTAAAAAACAGTAAAAAGTCCTTGCAGGGCCCCTTTAAGAGCAAGTTGAACTCCTAACTAATAAACATATACCGCTACGTCACATCCCAATAGTTTTGAATTCCCCTTAGTTCAATAACACCCAAAGAAGACTTTCTAATAAAAAGAAGCGCACATTTCGCGCAGCAAAGTTAACAAATTTTGAAATGAAATAGCTCGAATATCACGAGGAAGCCAATGCTTACAAAAGCACAATCGCGGATGCCAAGTCAGTTTATTTTTCTATCACCTTGCCAGCTCTACTAACCAACAACGCCAAACAGTTCTGGAGTGCGATTAACGGCAACAAAAGACACCACACGTACTGTCTCCATTAAGTTTATCAAATGAACCTGTTTTTTCCGATGACTGTACAAATGTTTTTAGTTCTATCTTTCTTTTCTTTTTTTTTTTTTTTAACTTAACCTCAACTTCAACAACGTGCTTTCTCGCTTATGTAGCCCATCTTAATTCAAACAAGTGTATAAAAATACCCTGCTCCGCAGGAGTCGACGAAATTAATTTCAAATTTTTACTTCGATGATACTATCTAAATTATTTGAGCAGTCACTTACTCTAGGCTGTTTACCTGACGATTGGAAGGCGGGTAAAGTGGTGCCTGTACATAAAACTGGCGATAATCATTCTCCCCTCGATTACCGTCCCATTTCCATAACAAACATTCTGTGTAAAATGCTTGAGCATATTACTTTTTTTTCACCTTGTTTAGCACCTAGAAACTAATTAACTCTTTGCTCCTGCTTAGCATGGCTTCCGTAAATCGTTTTCGTGTGAAACCCTGCTACTTACCCTCAGTAATGACCTTCACCTTATTCTTGATCGTGTTTCTGAGGTGTATTGTATTTTCCTTAATTTGGCTAAAGCTTTCGATAAAGTGTCACATAAGTGACATAACCTACTACTCCATAAGCTCAGCGAACTTAATATTGATCAGGATGTACTTTAATGGATTCGTATTTTGAATAATACTTCTTTAAGTCTAGCTCTCGTGACGTCAGGTGTCCCTCAAGGCTCGGTTTTAGGTCCCCTGCTCTTCCTTATTTTTATCAACGACTTACCTTCATGCGTTTCGTCCTCTATTAGTTTATTTGCAGATGATAACGTTCTTTACCGTGAAATGACCAACACCTATGATGTTGCTATTCTTCAGTCAGACCTTGATTGTGTTTCTAATTGGTGTAACAAATGGAATATGCAGCTTAACATCAACAAATGTAAAGTAGTGACTGTTTCTCGACTTAACTGGCACCCTTTTTCCTGCTATCTTAACAGTGTTTTGTTGCAGCGTGCATCATCGTATAAGTACTTAGGAATCCATATTTCATCGAACTTATCTTAGGAGCCTCATATTCGCTACACAACTAGCAATGCTAACCGCATGCTTGGCTTCCTCAAACGTAATTTTCGATCTGTACCTATGTCTCTCAAGCTACTACTTTGTAAAACCCTTGTCCGCCTTAAATTAGAATACGCCTCTTCTATTTGGGATCGCAGCACTGACTTACCCTGTTCGCTATATTCTTATGAATTATCACCGCACTGCAAGCGCAGCATCCGTGAAATCTTTTTTAACCTACCTAACCTTTCCACACGTCGTGAGCTATCCCGTCTTTGTCTGTTTCATAAAATTTATTATCACAATCCTCGTCATAAATTACTGACTCCTCCCTCATATGTCTCGCCACGCGTCGATCACCAACACAAAATTGGTCTACCTGTTTGTACAACCACTACTTCTTTATAATTCGTTCATCCCCCCCCCCCCCCCCCCCCCCCAAAGAAAAGAAGAAAAAAAAAACAATTACGTGGAACCACCTTCCATTGTCAGTTGTCTGTGTAACAGATGCCATTAAAGGGACACTGAACCGAAATTCGAATTTTGCAAAGTAAGGCTGCAGAAGTGTTGAACCGGACGCTACGAACTCCAAAACATCACTTGTACATCTATATCTCCAACGGATGGCCGTACTTTTGAAAAAGA